CTGTGGCGAGTGAACAGAGTTAGTGTAAATGGATTTGGAAGTGATGCCTCCGACTTTCATTAAAACTACTTCAGTGCAAAGGCACATATATCACAGTGTAATAATTTACCTCCAAGGAGATGAGAAAACAAAAGATCTTTCCATGGAAGTCTCCCTATTGCAGTATCAACCTAAGTCACCTCCTGATTGGACAACGCTCTCTCTGCTAATCATCTACATCTTACAACATCTTTCATCCATCAAAGCACATGCCTCGTCTTCAGTGAAATCGCCTCAGAGCACAGAGTTCCTTTTGAGAAACCTCTGGTGTTAATGTGACAGGACAAAGCGATGCTTAGAAACTGAGGTGGGCATTCTAAAGCAGTCTCCATGTTATTTCTACCAGCTGTCACATAGCTATGATGCTCTGACTAAAGTGCCACAGCACTTGTCCAATGGGGACCTAAGTCAAGCTGGTACTGCATAGAAGAACATCCATATATAAAGGAAAGTACTGCACTCATATATCCATCTTTGCCTCACCATTACTAAAACAGATGCTGCATGCTTACTCACTGCTGGAGACATTGATTCCAAGTACAGTGTACAACAGTCTTAATCTCTCACCTGTTGTGAAATAGCTAATCTCTCGTGTTCCTCTCCCTACTTAGAGCACATTATGTCCTTTGTTTTCCCCATTAGACGTTGGCATTGTGCACTGGAAAGAAAAGTCAGAATCCTATGACTCCAAGGGCATATGTGGGGCTCACACCCAGTTATTTCAGCCTCAGGCCATACTCAGTAGTATCATCACAGGTAAGGAGATTACATAGCAGAGGATTCCAAAGCAATTATCTAACACTGTGCCTGGGGTTTCCCATACCTGATGATTATATTCAGAATGTGTTTGGGAGAACTGATTTTTTTTTGCATTTTAGGACAAGAAAGGCACTAGACATTTAACTTAGGTTAGTAATCAGAAGGTAAAAGAAACAGCACACTAGCCACCTAAGTGGAGATGCCATCCTCTGGCATCTTGATCAGTCTTATAAAAACCCAAAACTTGCCAAAACAAAGTAAAAGCAACTCAAAGGTTCACAGTAGAATGAAGAAATAAGTTGTAGTATTTCATTCAGGGAAATATGAATGGGATCAAATAGTAATGAATTATGTAAAACTACACATAATGAATAATATGACAATGGGAAATTAAAAAAAGGCATACACACTACATTCTTAAAATACATGTTGTATGATTCTATTCATACAAAGTTCCAAAGTAAGTAAAAGTAACCTGAAGTGTTAGAAAGGAAGAGGGAGACTCTGGGGGATCGAGAGGGTAGCAATTAAGAGGAAGCACAGTAAGATGCATAAGGTACTGTTTGTATTGCATTACTTAGACTGTGGGGACATTGGATGTTTACTTCATGATAACTCTTTGCAGTGTGTGTGTGTGTGTGTGTGAGAGAGAGAGAGAGAGAGAGAGAGAGAGAGAGAGAGAGAGAGTATCTTTGAAGACTTAAATTTGGTCCTGCTTATCCACCAGGGAATTAGGATTACAAAATCTGAGTATGCCTAGTATGCTAGATTCATTTCTAGGGTCAAGGAAACTGAGTGAAGCAATGGGAACAGAGAAGCAGGAAGTACAGGGTGGAGCCCGCCCTCCACACAGATTTGCTTAGCACTAGAACTTTGGACACAATTTTCTCTCACCCAAAGGGAGAGCTGGATTCATTGATTATCTCAAGGGTTAACTGGGCCCCATATGCAGAGGGAGTCTAACCAGAAGGAGGAATTGATTATAGGGAGATGTGTGTTGGGGGCTCAGATCTGTCATTTTTAACTCTAAGGAGACCACACTGCCTCTTCCCTGTGTAGGTAGTGGAATCAGCACAGGCCATGGGACCCTGGCTATGAATTTCCATCTTGGGAGGGCTGCTTTCGTTTCTCAAAAGAGAAATCTGGCAGGCTGTAAATTTACTGGACCACTTTCTCTATGATTGGACCCTGTGGAAAAGACTTGACTTAATGGAAAGGGATAATGAAGGTCAGTGTCAGGAAGAACAGGTTTGAACAGGATTGGTGTTAAAGCAGAGCAGCCCAAGGGAGAAAGGGGTTTTCTTGGAGCTCACCAGAACAGCAAAGAGCAGGGTAGGAATTTGAATGCTGTAATGGAAAGAAGCATGAAAATGGAAAATTATTGGAGGATTCAGAAGTGAGGAAACCGTGTTGGGTAATCACAGGCAAGTCAGGTATAAGAGCTGTGAGCTTTTCAGATCCAGGCTTTGCATGTTTTTAAAGTTTTTAAAAATTGTCTTTAAGTAGTTGTGAGAAGGAGTTTCCATGTAACAAAGCAGTTTATGAATTCAACACATGTTGATCGGTGTCACCTCTTTGAACATTCTCACCCATCCCCCCTACACACCCTCTCCCTCACTCTTCTTGACTTTGTAGGATACACATTAGACTCTTGTCTGCATTTTCCCCCTCTTGTCTTTATTCATCTACCCTTTTTCCCTTGACCCCATCCCTTCCCTTTCAAGAACCTGTTTCCTGGTATTTTAATTTGCTGAACTATAATTTGGGCTTTCTAAGGATTTACACCATTTGAGATCTCCCTCGGGTCTGCTGTAGTAGGTATACACCCAGAAAGCTAGTGAGAAATGAAGTCTAAGATGATCATCCGCAGGCTGGGAATACAAGGCTGACTTTTTTGGAGCTGAATTCCAAATATTTAGAGCCAGTTGCTATGAGTCTTCATTGGGAGCTCCAGTCCCCAGTTAAGGTGATGAAGAACTGCCACACCTATCGTTGGTTAAGATTCTGTTTGCAATGGAGAGTGGCTTCAGACAAACAAGACCCAAATCAAAGCCAAATGTAAGTGAGGGAAGTTAGGGTTGAGAGGGACAGGTAAGAATATTCAAAAGGGTGACATTGACCAAGACATGTTGTATTCATTAATGGCTTTGTTGAGGGGCACCTTCTTTATTCAACTAGTTAAAGATAATACCTTATTTTTAAAGAATGTAGTTTGTAGCATGCTCATCTCGAGCATTTTGAGGCAATGTTCAAGGAACAGGGGATTCTCAAAAAAGATATTGAAGAACACCTTTAACCCATGGAGCAGGACCCCATTTCCAAGCCAGCATGAGAACACAAGGAGAGCACCAGGATAAAGAGTTCGTCCTAGGCTCTATAGAGGTACATAGATAAGCTGGACTAGAGATGGACAGTATCTGAGACCCTTGTGCATGAGAGGAGCAGTAGCTAAAATGACATCTCTTAGTCTTCTCTACCCCATTCCTTCCTGAGACTCTCTGCTCACCAAAGACTCTGAGTGTTGCTCACGCGAGTCAGTTACTTCTACTTTCTGTGTCTCCCCTTACAGAAGGGGAATAAGTACCCCTTCCATCACAGACTCTCCACAAATTGAAATGGTTAGAGATGCTCTTCAACAGGTTGCTCTGTCCCATGGGTATATGATTGACAGCCTACCTCCGAACCCTCTCTCTACTTGACTTTCCAAGTGTTAAGATAGGGTGGTAGCAACTAGTACCTCCTTGTGGGACCCTTGAGAGGACATGTGGAAATAAGGTGCTTAGCTCAGTGCCTGGTCTGTAGCAGGTGCCCCAAAAGCAGTAAGCATTATTTTAAAGCCAGTAAGAGCCTCTGGCCACTTGATTGAAATCAGATGGCCCTGGGGACTAGATGGAGCAGGTGGTTGAGAATGTTATGCTAAAGGGCATCTGGAAGGAATTCAGAAATGGAAAGGAAAGGTCTCTGAAGAGCAGCATACTGGCTTCTTCACCGGACCCACTAATGGGCTAGGATCCATTACTGAACCAATATAACCAACAAGTAGCAGTTTGTGCTTATGTGCTAAAGATGTCACTCAGATTTCTTTTTCTGGGTGTCTCAGGCGGAGGAAATCTTCAACATGTTGTTCATTCTATGATATGTGTCTGGCAGATGATGAACTCTGGAAGAGCTGGCTGAGTCTGGTCTTTTAGATACTCACAAGACAACACTTGGGCATTTTAAATAGGCCAGGAAAGGCATTTTGTCCCCTAGATATTCCTCTTACTCAATAATAGTAATAATAAAAAGGATATTAAAGCCATGTGCTTCTGAGAATTTACACTTAGCCTGTCAAATCTATTGTTTTCTGAGCATCTGAAGTCTAACAAGACTAATGAGCTTTTTTTCTTTGTCAAATGGCTTTAAAAATCTTTTTTTCTTAGAAGGACCGTGAGAGGCTTTGAAAGTTGCTCCAAGGGTAAAAATAATACTAATAATAAACTGTTTAACACTCTCAACTCCTGCAGGTTCAAATTTTACTTAATACTCTGAGCCCAAGGGATTTGAATTATTGCTGGCATTTATTGTCAGTTTTTATGAGGCTTTTACAAAGAGTGAGGTAGGGTCAGCGGGAGAAAACCACAAGGAGGTTCTCTAGAGTTCAGCTCGGGGCTGGCTCCACAGCCATGCCCAGAGTCCAACAGACTTCCAGAGCCTTCTCAGCCTGCACTTTCAGAGGGAGCCTCCATAACTTGGCATTGTCTAAGAAAGTTGTACGGAAGTTGTATTGAAGATTCTCACTTTTCAGCCTGGATTGTTTTTGCTTGGTGGACCAAAACCAAAGTCCTTCCTCCAAGAGTGGTTCTCTTGTGGGTCATACAATGTATGTCACATGAAGTGGGCCATGTATTATTAAACGACTACCGACTGGGTGAAAAGGAGAACATTTTTTGTTGTTCAAAGAAACCAACTACCAGAGCATCCATCAACTCACTACGTTGTCATCTAATGACCCCTGGTGGTGGAATTTTTCCCAGCAAGCGTGAATCGATGCTTCTGAGCCAAGCTCTCCTATGTTACATTTTCCTACATTCCCTTCCTCCTGTTTTGTCATTCACATTAAGCAAGGAGCAAGAATGAGTTACAAACAGCCAGAATAAAGTACGGCAAGTAGCCAACCCAGCTGTGATTTCACAAAGGTTCCCTGGTACCTCCTTTTTCAGGACATCTCTGATACATTACCTGTGGCAAGAGAAGGGAGACAACATGAAGGAAAATGTGGCATCCACAATTGCTTGCATTCTGCTACTTTTTCTCCACATCAGTCTTCTGAATGGTAAGTAAAAGATTGTCCTTTTCGATATCTTTGCCTGGATTGCTCATCAACGGGATAGAGAGGCCATTGTGGTCTTTCAATGTTGTTATGAGAAATGAAAGTATTTCTGTCATGGGCTGCTTACTAAATTATCTGCAACCTTTCTTTTCATAAAATTTAGACAAAATCTTGTCACTATGCTCTTTTCCCTGTATACTTAGTTCAGGAGGGGAATGAAACAGCTCTGATGATAAGAGGGCCTGAATTCCCGTCCGGGTTCTGCCCGTTATTAGCTGTGTGACCTTGAGTCACTTGCCTAATGTGTCTGGGCTTCCAAATTTCCAAAGTGAGAAAAATGATGTTTCTTCCACTTCAGATGATATAGTGCATGTGATTAAGTCTTTGAAAAGTCATAAAGGCATGTAAGCAATTGCTATTAGAAGAGATGAAGCTAAGGTAGAAGGTGTGTACCTGTTGTGTACAGTTCCATGTATATACCCCTCTGCATTCCTGTGTGTGCATACTTTGATATGTATGTGTGTATATTAACTTTTCATAGTGCCTGATCATCAATATTTTCATGTGGATATCATGCCTTTGTGTATCTTTATATACTTAGTCTGTTGTATAATTTCTCTGAATATATGCATGTTGCCAATGTGTTCTGCCAAAAATATACCCCAGGTGCATGGTGTGTGTGTGTGTGTGTGTGTGTGTGTGTGTGTGTGTGTGTGTGTGTGTGTACTTCTGGCCTGACGTCTATAAGGCCATTTGTCTACATACGTATAAACACACACACACACATAAGTGTGGCACCACTGTGGTTGTCTGTGTGCTTGTTCATTGAGTCAGTCCTTTAAGTTTAACTGCCTCCTCTAAAGTATATCAAGAGAACTTTGATTAATTATACTTTCCCAACTTTACCTTTCTGTTGCAATTTTGCAGAATATGCTATTAACAATCATTAAAATGTGAAAAGAAAAAATTCCCCAAGAAAGACAAAAAGGAAAGCAGAGATCAGAATGATCCACAGGGAAAACTCTAAGAACTCAAATCATCAACAGTATTGCTGATTGATTTCAAGTGTGTTCCACATTTAACAATAAACGTTAGGGTTTTTTAAATAAACTTCTCTCTCTTTCCCATATGCACACTCCCACCAAAGACAGAAAGAAGTAAATAAAAGAACACTTGTATTTTTGCCATGATTCCCAATAACATTTTCCTGAGGAAATCCTCCCCAGAGGGTGGTCAATGTTACAGCATTGCAGAGCTACACCAGGCTAAGAGGAACCATTTCAGCAGGATCTATGCCCAGAGCACATTGGCTATAAGCTGGCTTATGACTGGCTCCACTGACATGATCATCCTGTTTCCAGGTCTCCATCCTGCATTCTGTACCATGCAATCCATTAAACTCTGCCTGGCCAGGTTATCTATAGGCCTCAATTCCTATCCACATTCTCTTTACCACAGTTCCCTTACACACCTGCTTTTTCTGATCTTGGCTCAGTCAGAAATTCTGGGGAGCATGGAACAAATTTGGAGAAAACAAGGAGAAGCCCCTGAGCTACTGAAGCCAACATCTGAGAGCTCCTCCCTGTGCTCTTGACTCCCCAAGGCAACAAGCAGAAGTAACTGGAGTTACAGATCTTTTTATGGTTGGTCCAGCAGTGTCAGGGCAAAAATCACAGGGTTTCCTTCTCCCTCTTTGAATCTAATATCCAAGCAACAAAATGGGAACCCAAGCTGGGCGCCCAGCTACTCAGGAGGCTGAGATCTGAGGATCATGGTTCAAAGCCAGCCTGGGCAGGAAAGTCAGTAAAACTCTTATCTCCAATAAACCACTAGAAAACTGGAAGTGGTGCTGTGGTTCAAGCAGTAGAGCACTCGCCTTGTGCTGAAGAGCCGAGGGACAGCGCCCAAACCCAGAGTTCAAGCCCCACAACCAATAAATAAAAGGGGGGAACCCACTTACCAGAAGCTTCTGAGATTATAGGCAATGAACAATTCTATCCCCGTGACATATGTTATGTTCTCCAAATCATCTTCTAGAGACTTGCCAGTTTCCAGCCTGAGACCAGGTATGGTGCTTTGATACAATGGTAGCTCCCAACTCAGAGTAGAACTTCCTACTAGGCTATCACAGACTATGCCTCACGTCCCAAAAAGCTCCATCAAATTAAAAGGAGGCTTTCTGCTACTCACATAAGAAAACCCAAAATAAGGAAGAGAACATAAAAGTGGAAAGAGACTAATAATCAAGATTCATCAATGACCGTAGGAATTGTGGGGAGACAGACTAAGCCATTATATCAAAGTTGAATGGCAGTACATCAGGCCCAGCAAGACAAAGTGTGCATGCTTCCTCTCATATGTGGAAGCTAGATCTAGTTTATGAGTAAACAAGGAAGCACACCACACCAAAGAAAGATGAATGCAATCAAATAGAAAGGGAAGGGGACGATGAGAGTGGAACAGTAGGGAGAAGAAGGGAGGGACTGGCAGAGGAGGGAAAGGAAAAGAGACACAGGAGAAAACAGACAAAAGGAGCAGCATTGATACAGATCCAGACAGAGACACAGGCAATCCTGTGGGGATGGCAGAAAAATAGGAATTTGTGAGCAGAGAAGAAACATGCCAGAGTTCAATGTATGGGTAAAAGTATGTGCAGGTTCTTTGCACGGTCATTCCTATGCTGTGGATAGACAGCTTTATCAACTGAAACTTGAATTTGCATTGGTCTTGCTCCCCACAGGTGCACTACACATTACAGTTTACTGGTCTTTACACCTAAGCTACTGTTACTTCCATCTCTAAATAGAAACTCAACACCACCACCACAAACACCAGGCTTCCTCTAGTGCCTTGCCACCATCAAGATAATCAGGGAATTGTTTCTGGATACTAATACTTTGGCTATTTTTCCCCTTTCCTTTCTCATTTTTATTAGTGTGTATTAATTGTCAAGCAGAGTTTTGTTGTGATGGTCTCATGTATATTACCCTTTCTTATCATCTCCTGTCCCATTTTTAAACAACTTCTAATGGGTTTCATTATTCTGTTTTCACCAGGAGTAAAGTACTTTGATCATATCCTACCCACCCTCTTTTGCTTTGGCAATGTGAGTACTGGACCCCAGGCTTCCTCGCCCTGAGGTCCTGTCTCTAGCCTGAGTGCCAGAAATCTGCTTCTGGTACCTGGAGACTAGGGATCTCAATATTGATTCCTATAGCTTGTGGCTTCTTTTAGGAGAGTCGCCTCCTGGAATGCCTGAGATCGTTAGTTGTCTTTCCCCTGAGAAGGAAACCTTCACTTGCTGGTGGAAGCTCGGGACAGATGGAGGACTTCCTACCAATTACACGGTGTATTACAAGAAGGAAAGGTAAAAAGCTCTCAATGCCCTTTGACTCCACCAGTGCATGCTCACGCTCTCCAAACCAAAGAAATATTGGGTTTGAGTTCAAATTACCACACTTTCTTTATATATTTTTATTGTTGCTGTTCTTCATTTTAATTTTATTCAACAGTAAGAATAACTGTGACATATTTATTTATATGTTCTGAAGTTGTCCATTTCTGCAAAGATATTCTACACTTTGTAGCTATCACTCCCTATATAAGCAAGAGCAGGATTTAAGAATTAGAATACTTTTTGGGGGGAGGTCCGGTCGTGGGGCCTGAACTCTGGGCTTGGGCGCTGTCCCTCAGCTCTTCAGCTCAAACCTGGCACCCTACCACTTGAGCCACAGCACCACTTCTGGCTTTTTTCTTTTTGCTTATGTGGTACTGAGGAATCGAACCCAGGGCCTCATGCATGCAAGGCAAGCACTTTACCACTTAGCCACCTTCCCAGCCCCTAGAATTAGAATACATTTTTATACAAGAATAAATTCAGCTATTTTCCCTCCTGATTTGTGATTCTTAATTGTATTCTTTCAACAAATGTATACCTTTTTTGTGTGTGCTGATCCTGGGGCTTAAACAGGGACTAGGTATTGTCTTTGAGCTTTTTTGCTCCAGGCTGGTGCTCTAACTACTTAAACCACAGTTCTACTTCTGGCTTTTTTGGTGGTTATTTGGAGATAAGAGTCTCATGAACTTTCTTGATAACTGGCTTCAAACCATAGTCCTCAGTTCTCAGCCTCCTAAGTAGCTAGAATTATAAGCATGAGTCAACAACACCCGGCCCAACAAATGTATAATCTTTGAAAGTACAAAATTTCTTTACAAATAAATCCAGGCTGACTTGATATAATCCAAAAGGGCTTATTCAGTACATATTAAATGAATAAAATTATAAATTTAAGCAACATGACTACCTCTCTCAAAATCTCTCTTCAGAATTTATGTATTTACTTACTCATGGCAATGTAGGTTTTTTTGGGGTCTAGTTGTGGGGCCTAAACTCTGGGCCTGGGCACTGTCCCTCAGCTCTTCAGCTCAAGGCTAGTGCTCTACCACTTGAGTCACAGCACCACTTCCGGCTTTTTTCTTTTTGCTTATGTGGTACTGAGGAATCGAACCCAGGGCCTCAGGCATGCAAGGCAAACACTCTACCACTGAGCCACTTTCTCAGCCCCTGGCAATGTAGGTTTTTAAGTAGGATACATTAGTTACAAAAGGAAGAGGAGATTTCATACTCTTTCCTGAATTTGCTCCAAGAAGACTCATGTCACTGGAAAAATAAGATAATCTCTTGTCCTCTTCAAGTCCTTTGCATACTCTTTCAATCTTTCTTCTTTTTTTTTTTGGTCTGGTCGTGGGGCCTGAACTCTGGGCCTGGGCACTGTCCCTCAGCTCTTCAGCTCAAGGCTAGCGCTCTACCACTTGAGCCACAGCGCCACTTCTGGCTTTTTTCTTTTTGCTTATGTGGTGCTGAGGAATCGAACCCAGGGCCTCGAGCATGCACGGCAAGTGCTCTACCACTGAGCCACCTCCCCAGCCCCTCTTTCAATCTTTCTAAGTATTCCAACTAATGGCAATACAAAATTAGCAATGTTTCAAGTTACTTGTCATGAGTTTAAATTGTGACCTAAAGCCCCATATTCTGTATTAATAAATCCTTTGTGATTTATATTTTTTTCTTAGTAACACTATTTTAAGAGAAATATATAAGCTAGCCCCATGTAATCCATGGTATGTATACCATGAAAAACATGGTACATCAGGTTTTCAAATTTGTCTCCTGCCCAAGGAAATTCTTTTGCGAGGTGATGATCCAGAACTCAAGATCTTAGCTGGGCATAGTGGTTCGCACCTGTAATTCCAGCCCTTGGAAGGTTGAAGCAGGATCATGAGTTCGAGGTCAACCTGGGCTACATACCCAAGAAAAACAAAAATCAGAAGTCAGGTCCACCTTGAGGACATTTTTGGATGAACTATTGCCATGAAGACTAAATTATATAATCTCTGACTAAGAATTTTGTTACACTCATGATGAGACCCTCTTGGACATTCTTGAAAAGCTGTATCGTGGTCCTAAAACAAAGTATTTATCACTTGTAGGAACATCTGTCCCACTTTTCAGGGACAAAATTTGCTTGTATACAAAATTGCTCTCCGGTCTGATACTGAAAGAGGTGTCATGCAGATTTCAAGAACTTAAACTGGCAACCTATATGACATATTCATATGGTGTGTCTGGAGCTGAGGCTCCAAAGTCAAAATATGAGGCACCTCATAAGCCTGTAGAGACTGAAATACCTCCTTTCAAGCATCTGGTTGACTCGGAGTATACTGGCATCAGGGTGTGACCTTCTGAGTCCTTTTGTTTGTTCAAATGAAACTCCACATACATGTGCAATAAGTGTTGCATTGTCAGTGGTGCCACTGTCTATAGGTGCAGGTGAAGATCCCAACCTCTAGACGTGAAGTAATGCCCTCCATGAGGTGAGTTCTTAGCCAGGAGCAGCTCAAGAGTTCATTTCACAAAGCCCACAGGAACAGCTACCCAAGGGATGGAATGGTTAGAAGCAAAGTCTTGAGGAACTATATATATATACACCCTCCACCCCTTTCTCCAGCACCCTTCTTCCCCTCACTCCCAGCTACGATGGGAAAGCACAGAATCTGGGGAGCTATTTTTTGTTCAGATTTTACACACTCAAAATACCTGCCTCCCAAAGTCTAATGGTATTAATATATATTTTGTTATGGTTATTATTTTTATTTTTTATTGTGAAAATACTCTACAGAGGGGTTACAATTACATGGGCAAGATAATGAGTACATTTCTTATCAAGCATTGTAGCCTCCTCCTTTGTTTCCCCTTCCAATCCCTTCCCATCTTCCCCCCGCCCCCCCACCCAATCCTCACCGCCCCCCCACACCAAAGTTGTCATTTTTAAAAGTCACTCTTATTCTTGTTTTCTTATTGATTCCTAATGCATACTTCATTGCAGAGAAAATATCACCTATGAATGTCCAGATTACACAACTGGTGGCCCCAACTCCTGTTACTTTAGCAAGAAGCATACCTCCCTGTGGAAAACATACACTGTCTGGATGACTGCCACTAACCGCTTGGGAAGCAGTGCCTCAATCCCATATACGGTGGAGGTCATATACATAGGTAAGCAACTGAAGCGTCAGGGAGGAATTTATTATTCCACTATCTATCTACCAATAGCCAAGCTTCATGTGAACATTCTCGGCTTATGGGTGGTTTCTAGAAGGAAAGATGAGGAAATTCACAATCGTTTTCAACTGAGCATTTTGAAGTAATTGTTGTCCAATTGTTATTGGAAGCGTGATTGGCATTTGGGAATTTTGTATCACCATGCTTTTCCCTGGATCCCATGCTTTTGCACCCAGCAGGATAGTCTATATTTGCTTCCCTTGTCAATCATTCTCTCTGCCCTGCTTCTACAACAGATGTTTCCTTCTTTCTGAAATTCCTTTATTGTTTGCCTTTTGGAAGATAGAGCTACTCCATGAAGAAGCAGGTTTTAGAAAAAGTTCATCTGTGTCCATGAGAATTGACTCCATGAGTATTGCTTCAATTGCTTTACCCCATGCTAATCCTGACATATTAAATTACAAATGAAGAATTGGAGAATAAGGAATGCAACTTACATACTAAGAGCAAAGGCCAAGATCACTAGTGTAATGTCTTGATAAGTCATCAACAAAGTAGAACTAAGTCAATGTGGAAGATGTGCCTTGCTTTAATCAAGCACAATCACAAGAGCTGTTATGGTTTAGCAAGGGTGACCAAAGGAATCCTGAGACAAGGGATTGAGTGAGGTGGTCTAGGTTCTTTCCTTATCTTGAATAATAATTTATGAAGTTGCTAATTACATTCAGGGTTATGTTCAAATCTTCCTCATTCATCTAACATCAACAGGGAAAATTGGGCTTGAGGCCCTTCCATTTTTCACTAGCATATCATCCCTTTAACATGTTGAGCCTTCCAAACTACAAAAGGGTAAAAAGTTGATCCTTAAAAACTAGGAAAAGCTTCTGATACCAGTGAGCACATTTGAATGTTTTCTCCTTGCCATAATTTGGGAATATGCCTGAAGGTGGGGAATATAAGGAAGGCAATCCTATTAACAAGCAGAAATAAAATAAATACATCCACATCAATCCATTTAAGACATGGAGTCTAGGAGGACAGGGGTGGGGGGAGGGAGATGGGAAGGGATGGGAAAGGGGAAACAAAGGAGGAGGCAACAATGCTTGATAAGAAATGTACTCATTACCTTGCCCATGTAATTGTAATCCCTCTATATGGTATTTTCACAATAAAAAAGACATGGAGTCTATAAGATACTAAGTGACAGTTCCATTTTGTGGGTTCTCTCTTGAATTCCAATGCCCTGCCCACAAGTTTTTTAAAGAGTCAGAAGCTAAACAATGGAAACAAGAGAAGTTCTAAAATGAGCAACTGTTGCAACATGTTACCCACAAAACAACAGGCTCAGCCTAACCCCAACCCTAAGGAATATGTTTTGAAAATGAGACTGAGAAGCATCTATTGGATTTGCATGGATTCTGGGAAACATATTATCTGATGTGCCAGTCCATATTTTGTCAGAATAATAAAAGAAATATTCATGGAACTCTCGCATAACCCCTGAAGCCTGTGGCCCTGGTGACAGGTTAGAAAAGTTCTCAGATAGAACAGTTTTCATCACAGTACATTTTCTGACAGCTTGACACTCATCCAGGGACAACCATACTGCAAGTTCTAACTGTCCAACACTGGCAGATAATTGCACAGAAGTAGATTTCTTTCTGGTTGCTATTGCTATGTTGAAAGCTCTTAAAAGTAATAATCTCAGCTAGGGGCTATTTTGCCTCCCACAGGATTTGTGACAGTGTTTGGAGATAGTTTAGAATGTCAGAATTTAAGGGTGATCTGATTATTAAGGGGCTAGCAATGCTGAACACGGCAGCAAGTATCATACAGTTGCCCACAACAAAGCATTACCCTGTCCAAAATGTCAGTACTGTGGAGGTTGAGGAACTTTGCCTAAGTGGACATCTTCCTTAAACTTGTATAAAACTATGTTTTGATTAGAGGCATGATTCAGTCTGTGTCTAACATAAAGTTTGTATTAATTAACTGATACCTGAAACACATGAATGTTAGAATTCATGGGATTTTTTTTAATTTTTTGATGAAAAGATACTGTACAGAGGGTTACAGTGACATGAGTAAGGTAATGAGTACATTTCCTATGGAGCACTGTTACCCCTCCTTTGTTTTTCCCCTACTATCCCTTCCTTCCCCACCTCCCCAACACCTCCTCCCCCCATCTGTAAAGTTGGTTTTCAACATACTGTCTTGTATGTCTCATTGTTACAATGGGTCAACCCATATCCTTGTTTCAGCATTTTGTTATTTCCCTTCCCCTCCCCAAATTAGAAAAATGTATATACAAGACAGGGCACCAGAATCAAATACAGTGACAATAGGGCTCTTTTTTTGAGGCAAACAGAAGACATAATTCCAAATATGCTTTTGTCACAGCCATTCCTTGCCCACCTGATTTAAAGACCACACTGTGGGGGGTAATACAGGATAGGTCAAGGTAAGCCATTATCCTTGGCACTTCACTCTTAGAGAGGTGTTCTCATAGCCTGTACTTACCAGAATTTGAGAATAAGTGCTTTCTTCAGCTTGGGGATTTGTTTTATGTGCATGGATGAAAACAGAAAGATAAAACGCTATTGAAATGGTTTTAAGAAGGGAGAGGGGAAATGAAGGAGAGTGATGGAGAAGATGCGTTTGGTCAGGACACATTGTATAGATGGATAGAAATGTCGCAACAAAACTACTAGAGACTAATAAAAAAAGCTTTTAAAACTACACCTAACAAGACTTAATATTTTAACTATTTTAATTGTGCAATTCAGTTGCATTAGTTCATTCACAGTATTTTGCATCTATTAGCTGGTTCTCCCGGCTGAGAGAAATAAGTTATTTAAAATCACATTCCTGGATCCCATCGCTCTAAATGGAGCCTGTAGAGTTTACATATATGGGAGCATACAATTTGTGACTATGCTAAATTTGTTTATCTTTTCATCATTTGGTGAACATTTGCATCTTTCCACTTTGGGATTCATATAAATAGTGCTGCTATATTCACTCATATACAAGTCTTTCTTTGAATATCTATCATCACTCCTTTATAAAGATTTTTATTAGCATGTATTAGTGGCACCATTTCTTTTTTTGTTGTTGTTGTTGGTCATGGGGCTTGAACTCTAGGCCTGAGCGCTGTCCCTGCGCTCTTCAGCTCAAGATGAGCACTCTACCACTTGAGCCACAGCGCCACTTCCGGTTTTCTAGTGGTTTATTAGAGATAAGAGTCTCACAGACTTTCCTTCCCGGGCTGGCTTTGAACCATGATCCTCAGATCTCAGCCTCCTGAGTAGCTAGGATTACAGGCATGAGCCACTGGCACCCAGCTATATTGTAACATTTCTATACATGCAGATGACATACCCAAAATCATCCCCTCCATCTCTTTCTCATCTCTTCTTTAAGCAATCTCTTTTTTCCCTTTTAAAGCAATTTGAAAAGGTTTCATTGTTCTTTGTTTATAAACTATTTTATGTAAAATACTTTGACCATATCCACATTCATTTCTGATTCTTTTAAGTATACCTTTAGGAGTAGAGTTGAACAAAATGGTACATCTATGTTTGACTGTCTGAGGAATATTCAGTTTCCATGTCCTCCATATCATAAATAACACACATTCTGTTTGAGTGCTGGAGTCCTAACCTTTCTTATGGGTGTTTAATGTTATCACATGGTAGTTTGAGGTCATTTTGCCTCTTCTATGCCTGTTTTTCCTTCTACAGAATATGTTTTATAATAGCACTTATCAAGTTGTTAGTCACACTTTCTTGTAGTTGGAAACAAATAGCTCAGAGCAATAACTTAAAGAAGAAAAGATATATTCTGCCTCACAGATTTAGTTGCTTCAGTCCACATGGCAGGGAGGATATGGCAGAACAGCTCACATGATGTCAGCCAGGTAATGAGAGAGAGGGGGAGAGAGAGAGAAAGAGAGAGAGAATGCCTTGGCTACTGAAGGCATTCTCCTCCATTCTGTCTGGACCTCAAGCCTGAGGCATGCTGCTGTCCACATTCAGGATGAGTTGTACCCTCTTAATTAATCCTGTCTATCTGATAATGCCATCACAGACAACCTAAAAGTGCTCTTTGCTTAATGCCATAGCTTCTTCTGATCCAAAGGAGACTGACAATCGACATTACATTTCACAAGTTCTTCATTTGTCAACTTGACACCTAAACACATTATCTAAATTATAACATTCTGCCCCTGGACCCCCAAAGGCCTGTCTGTTTTATGATATACACCTGAGAATCTTCATCATCTTGAATTGTCCAAAAGTCTAAGTACAACATCTTTTCTGATACTCCAAACAAACTCTTAGATATGACTCTCTGCAACATCAAATATAAAATTGTGTACTTCCAAGATAGAATGGCAAAAAGTAGACATTCCCATTCAGGGGAGAAATAGAATAGATGGAAGGTTTTAATCAAAGCAAGATCAAAACTCATCAGAGAAATCACTAAATCCTATAGTTCCATATCTGCCATCCAGATCCCAAGTGGCATGATGTGACCTTCAACAGGCCTGGATAGCCCTGCCCCTACTACCTTGACAATTATAGGCCAAAAGAAGCCTGTCCTTTAGCATGATCCCACTTATCACCTGTGATTTTACTTGGCAGATGTTTCACAATCCTGGCATCTCCAGCAGCCAGGGTCTTCATTTCAGTGTAGGCTTCACCTTTTCTGCTACACATAGCATCCTCTCAGGGCTGTCTGTAAAGACTTGGAACCCACCACAACATTGCCTGGCTCCAAGACATTCCTCTGACATCTGGATGGAAGTCTTCATAGTCCCATAAGTCCCCACATATGGTGGCGACATTAACCTCTGCATACCTGGGCAACTAAGTGGGTGGAACAAACTCTATTTTAATTGTGTAACTTAGTGGCATTAGTTTATTCATAATATTCTCCCAGCTGAGAGAAATAAGTTGTTGCCTCATTGCTTTGTGAGCAGGACACCCCTCCCCAGAGACATTTTCCAATGAATTTATTCATTCCTACATGTGAGCCTGTAATGGGCGGGCTCTGGTTAATTCCTGGGCTGCCCTTAAGGCATCTTTATTACTGTCCTCATAGGGACATGGGGACATGAGCAAAGTCAGAATGAGCCAACTGTCTGTTCTGAGGTTGCTAAAGGGGTCATTACCAAACATGTCAACTGGTAGACACATGTCCCAATTTACTATCTGAGTGAATGGATTCTGTTCATATACTGTGAACTGTTATTGAACCAAAGGCAAGATTTATATACTTGTTACCTACAATATTATAAACACACATTAATAGATCATAAAAAGCATGTGTGTCAACAAGTAGCCTCTTGCTCCTGGCTAAGGGAAGGAAGCTATTTCAAATACATTTCCCCAGTAATTTTCCATCCCAAATCCTACTTGGAAATCATAGTCTAGTTAGTATCACCTGGTCCTCCACCATCATGCAAATATGTTTGTATGTATGAGACTGCCTGGTACTACGTGGAGAATGCATTAAGAATGAAACCTCAGCTGCTTATCTTGCTTATCATCTAAACCCCATATTCAGCACAGATCCAGCTGATCTCATACTAAGATAGATCTTGTCTTCTGAGGATTTAAAATGCAGTGGGATGAGTGGACATTAGCAACATAGACCATGATTGAAAGCAGTAAGACTAATTTTTAAAAGCAAGCAACTAACATAAATGAATGGAAATTTTCTTTATGTCCACAGTTGTACCACATCCTCCTATGAATCTGACTTTGGAAGTAAAGCATCCAAAATACAGAAAACCATACCTGTGGATAGAATGGCAACCACCCACCATTATTGATGTAAGATCTGGTTGGCTCACACTACAGTATGAAATTCGATTAAAACCCGAAAAAGCAGCTGAGTGGGAGGTGAGTCAGACAGAAGCTTGTTGAAGCAACCATGTCTCCTATAGCAAGAGTGAACCCCTCACAACCAAGAACAGTTCATTTCTCCAATGGCTTGGCCACTGTGCTAACATCCCCAAGCAAATGTAGGCTATCAGATAGGAAATTCCTCCATCAATTCCTCCTTCTTTTGGAATTGAAGGAGGCCCAGTTTCACAGCTCTCCTGAACATAATTCCCTGCACTGAACAGGACAGTCTTCTGCCGTGTTTCCAAGCCCCCTTCTTCTTTGATATATCTTAAATGTAGACACTTTTAAAAGTACTTAATAATGCTAGGACAGGAGGTGAAGGAATCCCAGTGTCCATGAATAATGTCTGTGTTTCTGAAGAAATAATTTTACACACTTCAATATGAAGAAACAAAACAATAAATCAATCATGATAGTCTACCCTTACATAATTTAGTAGGCATCCCTTTTTTTGTATAGCCAAAATAATAGGATCAGACAGAGGAAATGAATTAAACCTCTTTAGCACCATTCAGTAGATAATCTGCATTATAATCTTTCCCAGTTGTTTTAAAAATATCTTTAACAGCTGCTTTTTTCAAGCCAGAATCCATCCAAGGGCTGCAAATAGGACCTGGCTGTTATATCTCTTCCTTTGGATGCACTCAAGATGCTGGTCACTTGTACCACCAGATGTCCTGCTTTCTTCATTTGTCTATCGTTTGTTGTAGAGTCATTTACCTAATTTCTCTACCTTTGTATTTCTTGTAACCAATCAGATCTAAAAACTTGGTTAGATGTTGGTTAAGCAGTTATTGACAAGTATACTTCATCATATCAAGAAACACAGGCTATCTCGTTATATATAAATAAAGTTAGGTATAAATGATATTAAGACTGACCCCTAGAGATGAAAACTAATTCCCTGCTTGCAAAATCATGTTTAATGTGTTCACAATTACTTCAACATACATGAACACCCAGTTGATTTCCAACTGGTAATTTTAATACTAATTAAAAATCCTCGAATCAGTTTCTTCAAGAAAAAACAGTAAAACTATTTTTGTATTTTTATAATTTTTCTATGTTTACAGTGTTAAATTTATTGACATCTGTAATTCATAAAATAGAATTGGAGGAGGGTAGAATAATTGTCTTTCTCAAATAGACTTCAAAATGAAAAGATACAAAATCTGTTAATTTTTGTGTGAACAGTTTTTTTATTGAGAAAATAACATACAGAGGGGTTACAATTACATGAGCAAGATAATGAGTCCATTTCTTATCAAGCATTGTTTCCTTTGTTTCCCCTTCTCGTCCCCTCCCATCTCCCCAGAGAAGGATCTGATAGCCCGCATATGATTATCTACCCTAGCACCTCTGATAATTTATAATTTATATAATTTATTTTTGATAATTTTTTCATGAGAAAGGTCTGATAGTTTATAATTTATATAATTTATTATTGATAATTTTTTCATAAAAAAGGTCAGTAGTGACTTCTGTTTTCCTGTTCCTCTTAAGACTCATTTTGCTGGGCAACAGACCAAGTTTCAGATTCTCAGCTTACATCCAGGACTGAAATACTCTGTCCAGGTCCGCTGCAAGCCAGATCATGGAAACTGGAGTCAGTGGAGTCCAGAGCACTCCATTCAGATACCTAGTGGTAAGTGTCTTGTCCTCTAGTTCTCTTCCTAAATATTTTTATGTGATAAATTTGTGTGTAATGACTACTAACAGCTTTAACCAGAAGAATAAGTAGAAATGGATTTGTCATCTCTTTACTCAACACAAGGGCATCTGGAAATAATGTCCAAGCATTGCTCCCCAGACCACTCACTGTCAGTGAGGATCAGCTTCTAAAATAAGGCTGAAGTCCTGGTCTTGACCTGTCTCTGGGTGGGTTAATGATGTGTCATCCCACAGTCTCCATTTGTCTCCTCTCTATCATGTAAAGGGTCCAATCATGACAGGTCTGAAAAGTGGTATCCTTTCTCAACAGTGAAGACTTATGAGGCTAAAGTCTCTGTCAAGGCACAATATATGAGATGATCTCAGTTCTAACAAGTGATGTAAATATGGTGTCATTGTGCATTTCTTTTTTTAATTTAATTTTATTGTCAAGGTAATGTACAGAGGGGTTACAGTTACATAAGTAAGGTAGTGAGTACATTCCTTGTCAAACATTACCCCCTCCTTCATTTTTCTCCTACTTTCTCTTCCCCCCAGCTCTTTCACTCTTGTTGTACAGATCTTGTGGGTATTGCTGTTGCATTGGCTCCCCCTTTGTCCTTGCTCACCATTTTGTTCTCCCCCTTACCTTCCCTAACTCAGATAATATATACCATACACTGGGTATCAAAATCAAATACAGTGACAACAAGGGATAAACCACAGGGGTAAAACACAAAAGAAACAAGAAATCACATAGTACTTTAAAAACAACAACAACGAAAAACCTCTTATGTCCATGTCTTGGAGTTCATTTCTCTCAGCATCATCGTATATGGTCATATGCACATAGCTATTGAGCTATTCTGTTCATCTTCTAGGAATATCCTGGACATATACTAATTATTACAAATGAGGGAAACTATGGTTCCTATGTTTCTTTGGGTTTGGTTTACTGATTTTCTTCCAAGACTTTCCAGCTCCTTACAAATAAGGCAGTGCCATTCTTTCTGGTGGAAAAATAGAATTTCATTGACTGTGGGGGGGGGGGTGTATCACATTTTCTTGATCCATTCATCTACCAAGGGGCATCTGAGTTGGTTCCAAATCTTAGCTATGGTAAATAATGCTGTGATAAACATCATTGTACTGGTAGCTTTAATACAGCCTTGTTTGTGATCTTTTGGGTAAATGCCCAGAAGTGGGTTTGCTGGGTCATAGGGGAACTCTATCTGTAGTCTTTTGAGGAACCTCCATACTGCTTTCTAGTATAGTAGTGTTCCCTTTTGGTCACAGCCCCTCAGCCTCTTCAGTAAATAGTGCTGGCAAAATGGTTAAACACCTGTAGAAAAGTAAAGATAGACCCTTATATATCACCTGGCACCAGAATCAATTCCAAATGGACCAAAGACCTCACGGTAAAAGCAGATACCATGAAAACATTACAGGAAGGAATAGGAGAAACTCTAGGGCTCCTTGGCACAGGCCAAAATTTTCTTAATAAAGACTCAGAAACACAACAAATCCAAGAAAGGCTGGACAACAAATCAAAGAAAGGTTGGACAAATGGGATTTGCATTAAACTGCAGAGCTTCTGCAGGGCAAAGAACATAGATACCAAGATCAATAGAAAGTCCACAGATTGGGAGAAGATCTTAACTAGCTATACAACAGACAAGGTACTTCTGACTCAAAAAATTAAATCCTCCAACAACAAGTCCTCAAAGAAACAACATCCCCACTAATAAGTAGGCTAAAGACTTAAAGAGAGACTTCTCTGAAGAGGAAACAAGAATGGCCAATAGACACATGAAGAAATGCTCAACTTCTCTGGCCATAAAAGAAATCCAAATCAAAACAACATTGAGATTCCACTTTACCCCAGTTAGAATGGCTATAATCAAGAAATTTAATATCATCTTGCATGTCTAAAGTACTTAACTTTATCACGTCTTTACCTTGCTTCCAACATTCTCAGGTAAAATGTAATTATCACTAGGAACTAACAGTAGGAAAACAAATTTAGTAAAGTTAATAATCTTTACTCTCCAAACTCTAGCTCTTTGGAAGTTATGAGGGCTTTACAAGATTAGCGTGTGGGAAAGAACACTGAACTATAAGAGAGAGCATTCCTCTAGTCCAATGTGGGCTCATATTAAAGAAAAGCAAATGATCTAGAGCTAGAAATCCTGACTTCAAATCCTGATTTTTAACTCTTTAAGTGAAAGAACCATGAAAAAAATCACTATTTGAGCCTCCATTTTCTCATCTGTAAAGAAAGGCAATGTTGCTAAGCTAAGCACTGCTGTCTTTCATTGTTATTACTTCAACTGACCATTTGGCCTTTGATTTCTTCTTAAAGATTCAACTGAAACAATATGTGAAAAGATTTTTAAATTAATAGAACGATGTGACATATATAACATATTAGAATATTAAAATATCAGTAAAAATCTAACCTAACATTAATGCTACTCTGGATTGCTCTTCAAGTCAAAAGAGATATGATTAGAGGGAAAAGTTCAAGTGTTCAAAAGTTACATGCAAAAAAAGGATGTGATGCATTACATCAGTTGGTTGGTTATAATTGTTTAATGATGCGGTATGTGATCAAAGCTTTCTGGCTATTTGTTTTTTAGACTTCCCCACGGATGATACAACCATGTGGATCTTTGTGGCTGTTCTTTCTGCTGCCGTCTGTTTGATTACGATCTGGGCAATGGCTTTGAAGGGCTCTAGGTACTTCCTTGTCTCTCAGCCCTTCTTTCTATTATTATCATCAGGGGTAATGTCAAAAAAAGATAAACAAATAATGCATGATAATGATAACGAGCCTACAACCTACACATTTAATTTAACCATTAGTTCTAATATGCTATGTTTATTGAGTTCAAATAAAACAACTTTTATCAGCACTAAGAAAAACAAAAATAGAGAATGTGACTTCTCTGACGTATATAACTTTATCAAATGGGGACTCTCATAAAACATGTAGAAGTAATTTGAAGATTAAAAATAATGTTTCAAGAATCACAAAGTAAAAAGATAAGTCATTTATATAATCTCACAAATTATTTTACAGCTTGGTGACCTGCATCTTTCCACCAGTTCCTGGACCAAAAATAAAAGGATTTGATACTCGTTTGCTGGAGGTAAGTCCAAGAATAAGAGAATGTAGTGTGACTAGCTACTTTTAATAAACAATTTGCAAATTCACACACTACTCCCATCAACCCAGTCTGGCTACTTCTAATCTCTCTCCATCTGTGCCTTGTGCTCCGCCTGTGAGTTAATAGAAAGAATTATCAGGTCTGAGAGTCTTCACCAGCAGACATTAAAAGTTGGAGGGCAAAGAACAAAAGCCACAAAAACACAAAATTCAAGGTAATGAGTGCTAGATTCACCAGGGATGCTAATAACCACACACATACCCATTCTATACAAATAATCAGTTTCGATCTAGGTGATATTTTCACAAACACAAAACAAGTACTTGCCATGGCCACCTCCGTCTTACAGTACTGACAGCTTCCATTTGACGTTCTCTACACAAGAGGCCACAGTGACAGAATATGTCATGACCACTCTTGCTCAGATTGAGCAATCAGTTGAGTCTGGATTAGTAGAGTGAGGGTTGGTGTTCATTGGGATGCATTTAGAGGAAAGCAAACGTAAGTGTTTGGAATGAAAAGAGCATTCAGGACATTTTCAATTTCTCTCAGGTTGAAATATATAGTTTCAGTTTGACCTTAATCTTAAGAGTGATGTGTAGAAACATGGTTATCTGATAAATGTCGTGACCCAGTGACTGTGAGGCCAATTGATCAAGAACATGAAGTAAGTCCCACAGAATTCTTGTCTACCAGATACACTTTGGTTGGGAATATCTGACCTGATAGTACAGCTAAAGAACTAGGCTACTTACCCAATGCTGACACCACTTTCCAGCTGAGCAGTGACTTTTGTTGTTGTTGTTGTTGTTTTTCAAGTTGAGGTCTGAACTCTAGATTGTGAGCTTATGAGTCAACAACACTACTAGCTGAGTTCATTTCTTTAGTTCATTCCTCAGATAGGGCATTGCATTTTTGCCAAAGATAACCTGGATCATGATCCTCCTACTTATGGCTCCTGTGTCATCATGCCCACTTTTGTTGTTGTTGTTGCTGCTGCTGTTTTAAGATAAAGTCATTGTGCCTAAGCTGGATCCTCCTGATCTTTGCCTCCAAATTAGCTGAAATCACATGACATGCCACAACTCCCTACTTAGCACTGGCCTTTACAGAGTCAACATGAAGATCTCAGTGAACTAAAATACTTTCTAGAGCACAATTCATCTGCTAGTCATAGAGATCGAATGATAATATAGCTACTTGGTTTTAAATTTAATATTTTTGTACATCATCTCTAGTACTCAAAAGGTATTCCCAGAGAGGCATCAACTCTCATCTTAAAAATGGAGACATGGGGATTCAGATAGCAGCTTCCCTAAGATCCTATATACTGGATAAGTAATAAAACCAAGGCTTCACACCACTAGAACCTAAACCAGAAGATCAGAAAGAAGAGGGGAAGTAAGAAGAGGAGGCAGGTGGAGTTAAAAGGAGGAGAATGGAGTACTAAAAGGAGAGGGGGGAAGGAATATAAGAGGGAGGAAATAGAGATCAGGAAAAAGAGAAAGGAGGAAAAGAAAGATCAAAGAAATTGAAAAGTGTGGGGGGGGAGGGGGGAGGCTGGGAAGTGATGTGAAGGGTAAACAAAGGAGGAGGCTGCAATGCTTGGTAAGAAATGTACGCATTATCCTGCCCATGCAATTGTAACCCCTCTGTACAGTATTTTCACAAATAAAATAAAATAAAAAAATAAAAAAAACCAAAAAAAAAAAGAAATTGAAAAGTGGCAGAATAAGAACAAAGAGATAAGAAAAAAAAGATGGGAAGAGGAAAGTGGGAAGACAAGAAGGGAGAGAAGGAGGAAGATCAGTAAAAGAAGAATGAACAAAAGAACCAACTTCTTATTACCATCTTCTAGAAGGTAGCAGTTGGGAATACCTCAAAAGCCAGCAGCCACACCTCAGAATCATTCTGCCAGTGAATTCCAAGTGTCAGAAGTGTACATGAGCACTTTGGTTTACATGTTTTACAAGCTTTGTAAACTTCATAGGTGTATGTTTATAAGTCGTATACTAATTGTCCATTAAGCTAATGATCTTTTTTTTTTTTTTGGTCCAGTCGTGGGGCCTGAACTCTGGGCCTGGGCGCTGTCCCTCAGCTCAAGGCTAGCGCTCTACCACTTGAGCCACAGCGCCACTTCCGGCTTTTTTCTTATGTGGTGCTGAGGAATCGAACCCAGGGCCTCAGGCATGCAAGGCAAGCGCTCTACCACTGAGCCACCTTCCCAGCCCCTAATGATCTTTTTTTTTTGCTTAGAGAGAGGCTGGCTTAAAGAAAAGCATTTGATCATAAGTACCAGAAGGTGATTATAGATGGCCTGATAGGCACCTACATAGCATTCTGGGGAATTCTTGAGGCTGCTCACAAGAGCCTTCAACCCAGCCAAAGGAGATAGAAAGCTCCCATTCCAAGTCTTAAGTAAGACCCAGCATGGCCACAGCCTTAGGAGAGAACCCCTTTAATCTCTGCTCAGGTTGATGAACAGACAACACTTGGCTGTGATACCACCTGTGGCATGTGATAGAGCTAACACCCACCTCTCCTTGTGTCTTTGTTTTAATAGAAGGGTAAATCTGAAGAACTCTTGAGTGCCTTGGGATGCCATGACTTCCCCCCAGCCTCTGACTGTGAGGACTTGCTGGTGGAGTTTTTAGAAGTGGATGACAGCGAGGAACAACAGCTGATGCCAGCCAACTCTAAAGAACACCCAAGCCCAGGTGTAAAACCCGCACGCCTGGATCCTGACAGCGACTCTGGCCGGGGAAGCTGTGACAGCCATTCTCTTCTCTCTGAAAAGTGTGAGGAAACCCAGGCCAGTCCTCACACTTTCCACACTTCCGGGGTCAGGGAGAAGCCAGAAACTCCTGAAGCAAATATTACTTGCCCCCAAGATTTCCAGAGCATACCAGGGGAAGGCAATATCCACTTCTTTCATGCTGATGAATCTAAATCTTCAACCTGGCCTTTACCACAACCTGGCCAACAAAACCCCAGATCTCCTTACCATAGCATTGCCGACATGTGCAAGCTGGCTGGAGGCCCTGTAGGGCCCATAGCTACTTTACTGGACAAAGCAGTCCAAGATGCTTTAAAGTACTCTAAAACCATGGCAAATGAAGAGGAAGAAGAAAAGACAGTTGAGCAGGAGGTGGAAAGCTTCTTCCATCCCAAACCAAAGCAGGATACAGTATGGCTGCTTCCTCAGGAGGAGAGCCCCTTGATTTCTGTTAAACCTCTCGATTACGTGGAGATTCATAAGGTCAACAAAGATGGGGAACTAACCTTGCTCCCAAAACAGAGAGAGAACAGTGAGCAGACAGAGATGTCTAGGGCTCCTGATTCCAGTAAAGAGTATGCCAAGGTGTCCACGGTCATAGATAACAACATCCTGGTGTTAATGCCAGATCCTCGGGCTCAGAACGTGGCTTTGTTTGAGGAATCCATCAAGGAGAGTCCACCATCGCTTCAACAGAATCAGTCAGAGAAAGACCTGGCCAGCTTCCCTGCGACCTCCAGCAAGTGCAAAAACCAACAAGGCGGGCTGGATTACCTGGACCCTACATGCTTTATGCACTCCTTTCACTGATAGCCTGACAGATGAGAATGATTGGTAGAAATGTGATTTTTTTTTCTTTCAGGTAACACTACAACAGTGTCATGAAGGAATGCTGTGTGCTGTGTGGTAGTGAATGATCAAGAATGTGGGTAGAATGACACTACGTTTGCTTCTTTTCACTCTCCATGTTCAACCACTTGCCTTTTTCTAACAGCAGTTTCCAAAACACATCACTTTGTCACTGAACTGTGATTTGTCGATTTGGTTTGGGTTTTTGTTATTGATGTTTTTGGTGTGTTTTTTTTTCCTCTTAGTGATAAAGACTTATGTGTTCAATGAAATTAAAGCACATTGCTTAGTATTCCTGAGGGGTGGTGCCGCTGGGTATATCCCCTTTAAAAAGCTTTCGTGGTTTGCTAGGAGGTAGGAAGAAATGGAACTGTCAGAAAGACTTAACACAAGAGATGGTAGATATATGGGAAATGCCATGAAAACCACCTTTGAAAACAAATTGCTTACTTAACCCTTTACACTCCTTTTTCATTTTATAACAGTGACCTAAACAAAATATATTTTTTAAGGAATCCATTCCAGGACACCTACCAAAAATGTCTGCATCAGTCTCTTACTGATCCATTGCTGAAATGCAAGTAAAATAATGCCTCTCATTTTGTAAGAGATAGTTTGAATGCATTAAGCATGGATTTCTCACCCTAAATTTTATTTCCTTCTGATCCCTCTGGCACACATAGTTTTTGGAAAGTAAACTTTTCTTACACAAGAGGCAAATGAATCTCATTTGGTAAATCTTGCTTCCTTTTAGCAGGACCAGTAATTTATTATACACCCGAATGTTTCCTTCACAGAAACAAACAAAAACAATTCCCAAGACTAACTTTAAAAGATAATCATAGCAGGATGCTAATAGAAATGCTGCCTTACTGTACATACAGATTCTACTTTAATACAAACCTGTAAGTTTAGCAATGTATTTTTGAAGACTATTTTTCTATTGCTTAGGTAAAGTAAGACTATTTTCTATTTCCCAGTGCAGCCGTTTACGTATCCAGTGGGCACAGTACTTTCTGCTGTTAAGTTATAATGAGTATTCACAGTGTGTCACAGTTTGTGGGATAAAATACTGTAGTAACCCAAAGCCCACTGAGGAATATGAAATAGGTGACAAAATTCAGATTGCAACACAAGAATGTGCATTATCTGATTCTTCTTCATCTCCAGGATAATTTAAACAACAACAGACCTACCAAGTTAGAGTTTTAGGACTCTCCACAGACCAGAAATGAATTTTCCTGTGAGTTTGGGGCTTCTGCCTATCTATAGGTGAGTCTTTTCTTTAAACATGCTGCATCAGAGACAGAGATTTGGCTTTGTTTTGTTTTTCTGGGCAGTCTTGGATAGCAAAAGAATTTTAAGCAAAACCAGGGATTAATATCTCTCTGGAGTAGATGTATTTGCAAAACTTTGGCAGAAACAGCACTCACATCAAGAATGTCCAAATGGAAACCAGATAGGACCAGTTGCAAAGGTGGAATATGATGAAAACCATCTGCAAGTCTATTCCAAGGACAGGCTCCCCGAAGTGGGTCAAAACCCCCTTGGGTCTCCATTTTAACAGGAGCCTCCATGACTTATCTACTGAACAGAATGCTCCCTCCCTCTACTTTTCATTGCACCTACTGGCAAATTTATTCTTGTCTACTTACGATCTGTACATTCAGAACATGAGTTCATTCATCTCCATGAGTTAAATATTCATCAAATCCATAGTGATAGGAACTGGACCCAGAAGTTCCCTTGTGATTGAAACACGTTGTCAGTGTTTTCAGAAATATAAAAAATAATATATCAGAGGCTGTATTTCCCCACTATGTAAACATCTTGTGAGAAAGAGAAACATTTGGGAAAACTGCTAAGCTTACTCAGTACTCTAGATCCTCATTAATCAGTGATTGAGGATTAACTATTGGCATCTCCTGGTTGCTACTGGAAACTCTATTACCAGCACCTCAGGGCCTATCCTAGATCTTCAAAATCCATATGTGCATCTTACTAATGTCCCCAGTTAATTCATGTGCATGCCAAAGTTCTTTATACCATTTCCACTAATGGGAATTTTTGTGCTCGAAAATAACCCTGTCTTGCGTAGATCAAATCTGTTTCACTTGCAATGAAAGGAGAAAGCAAAATCAAAAACAATAACAACAATAATAAAAACCAACATATTAGTGGTTTAAGATTCATATAATGGTGAATCTTTTGCCTATTCATATGAGACTGACCTGAAAAATACACAAAACCTCCATGAGAACCAGAGAGTATAATATACTAAGGCTTTGACTAAGGAAATTAAACTTCAAAACCAATGTGGACAAAACCTATCCCTACATTAAACAACATTCTCCAGTTTAACTATTGAGGTTATTTATATATGTATATACATGTTTATTTATAAAATATGACTGAGAAAATTAACTTGATATATCAACTGCTCTTATTGTTTGAAACTTTAATATCATCTGCTTTTGACATGTTATTATATATATATATATATATATATATATATATATATGAAAAATGCTATAGTGGGTTAAAGCCTTGAACAAAATCTTTTAAAAATATCAATTATCTTTCACTAGTCAAGTTTATAATTTATAATTATTAACATACTTTCTCTGATTTCTGAAGATGTTGAACTAAATAATCCCTAAGTCCTTTATAAATTCTGTCTGCTTGATTCCATGATTCACTGAATAGTTTCCTACAAAAATAATCTGACCCAATGCCTTGTATATTAAATAATTAGTCTTCATTATGGGACTGGAAGGCAATCTTCAATGATGTGCTCATCATTGTTTAGCAACACCTCCCACTGGTCTTCATATGTCATACATGATTTTGTTAAGTTCTTAGGATACAGTGCAAATGATATTCTAAGATTATGAGAAAATAAAGACTTAGATAACAGACACATAAGATAAAACAGAAACATCGAAGGAGACACTAATCTTCAGAATAATGATTGCTTACTGACTTGAAGTAATGTTTATTTCTGCCAAACAGTCCCAGATACCTTTTTTCTTTTCCATCTTTCATCATAGTTTACAAATAACCATTACACAAATAGCTTGAGTCTTGTGCTCCAGATTATAAAGTCATGTTTTTATAAACAGATACCTAAATATGAAAAGTTATGAAGAACAAAACTGGATAGAGTCAATAGATGATTTTGTGGAAGCATATGATTCAAATAGCAAAATGTTCTCTGAGCAATCTTAAATGTCGATAAAATATCTTAATATGAGCACAAGTTACTGGCAACTGTGTCATTGATTTTTTTAGCAGATGTTACATTTTCCTAAGTGCCTATAACCAGTCCTGACAGTGAGTTATGGACTAACAACTTGCTGTAGCTGGTCTTTTCTAGAAGGATCAGTCTCTTACTACCCAAATAAAATCACAATGGTGACTCCTTATCCTGTAGTAATCCTACGGACTTGGTGAATCCTGAGTTAATGAGTCACTAGAGGACTTGGGCTCCAATGAGCACTTTGTCCTGGAGGAAATTCAGTGTATTTATTTATTGTTTGCTGCCTGCTATTGCCAATTATTTTCAGAAGGATTTAGTCCTGCCTTTAGCACCTTCGATCTCCTCAGAGTATTCAGTAAACAGGAAAGAACAGATTTATATAGGTTTTACAAAGTGCCTTTCATTTGTTAAAAAAATGGAAATATTTTAGTTTGCAAGATAAGTATATTGGTTAGAAATGTATTTTATATGAAGAAAGCAGGAGTAACCAGAAAGGGAATGACAATATAATGTAAGGACTAATCAGTGAGCAGTCAGTGGGTTTGTAATGTATTGTTTAACTGAATCATCACAAAGCTGATGTGAATAATGTGAATCCAAGATTTTCTATTTTGAAACATATTGATGCTGTGTAAATAGCACTAAATTTTGTATGCCAGGGCCTAAAAAGTACAATATGTCACATGGAAATTTTGCACACTGATTAAAAACTATTAGTGAATTTGAATTATGGTCCCATCTGCTCTTGATACAGATTTGTCAATAATGGGACCTGCCTGTGTGCATTAGTAGACAAACGTGGGTTTTTTTCCTGCCTTTTTAACTCAACATAATTTAGCATTGCTAGGATAGAGACCATGTACTCCACAACCCAGTCTAAGTCATATTACTGCCACTTACCAGGCCAAGTCCTTTAAATGCTGGCCTTTAGTTTCCTCTTTTGTTAAATAAGTGAGTTGGCTGAGAAATATTTTTAAGGATGTATCTTCAGGTTCTGTCTTTTTTTCTCATGATTGGGGTAAAATCCAAGAATGCAGGTCACAGACCCAGACATAGTACAGGAATGACTTAGTCATCTGCTCTAAGCAGTGAATGACTGCTTAGTTAATCACAGTTAATCAGATCATTTCCACAATTCAGGTGGATTTAACATCCTGGCTTCTCCCCTTCCTAGTTGTATATACTTATATACTTATAACCTTTTTAACTTCCTTATTCCAAGGCCCATTATTTTTTCACTGAATTAGTTGTACACAGTGGGAACTACAGGATCTATAAAAAGCAAAATTATTCATAAGCAATGAATGACCTTTGTCCTCACAAAGAACTAGTCAAATGTGAAATCATCCACACAGAAATCCAAGCCACATGTGAGAGTCACATGTATACCCATTTTGAGATTTGCATGCTTATCGATTTGAGCCTGCTTTGTTATTTAGTTAATATAAAAGTTACAAATAAATGCAGGCTACCTTGATGAATAGTTATGGAAAGCCTTAAAGAGAAACTTGAAAATACAAAACAACTTCTCAAGAGCTTATGATCTAAATGGAAATTCTACTTGTAATTATACCTGGATTTTCTATAATTCCTAGATATGCAAATCAAAAGGACACTTATCTAGAAATTTTCCCTTCAACAAGGTGATTTTGAGTCTGAGACTTTCCTATCTACTACAAGTAAAAGAAAATGTAGAAAAATAGAAAATAGATTGTTTCCAAAATTGGGATATCTCAGGATTCACAAAATGCAGAGTAGTTACTAAACTCAAATTGTATTGAAAATGGTGAATCTGTATTCTTTTTAGCATTCTGACTTTGTAGCTAAGAGATGTACATAATTCACAACACCATAGGCTGGCAGCTGTTCACATCAATTCTTCTCAGCTGTGTCTTGATGTCCATTTAAGAAGCATTTGCAACATGTAAAGTTGAAAAACATATCCTGCTTACATGGTGTGATCAATGATCATAGAAATTCAACCATAAGGTAGTCGTTAGTTAACATCTTACCTGCTGCTATTTTAAAAGAAAAGAAAACTCTAAAGATTTCTTCTGGACCAATAATATCAAAACCGGGCCAGTTTTTTTAAAGATTATCAAAAATAATCTTTAAGAGTTATGGTTGATGGTATTTCATCTACATTGAGGTTTTTTTGCACATTTTTCTGATCTGGGATTGAGATCCTTTTATCATGTTATCTGAAATTTAAACACTATATGGGAAAAATACCTCTGGGAAAAAAATATAATTGGTTTTGTATAATTCCTGGAAAAAATGATTCTGAATTTTTAAAAGACATTATCTCCCTTTGTGTCCTAATGACTTTCCTCCAAAGCTGCCTGTAGTTTAGAAATGGAAGATGTTACATCTCATGATTTAAATGGTTTTGGCAACAGAGCTGTTGTATTTGTCAAAGGACATACCTGAATTTAAAATAATCATTATATTATTTTATACATAATGCTTTCTGTGAGTCAAGATCATGATATGCTGTATTGATATATTGATATATATATGTATAATCTTCATGTTATAAAAATCATCCCATAATACAAATGAAAATCATTTTAATGAGTTGATTTCAATATGATTATGTCTATGTCTATAAAACAAAACATTTTTAAAGTGATCATATATTTCTGTCGAAACTGTGAATGTACTAATTTTTCATTAATCGTTATCTAGAATTAGTATTGTATGCCACTCTAAGGCCTATCTGAGGTGTTAGGTGTTTGACGTACAATCCAACAGTTGTTTAAGTGTTAACCTTTTAGCTTTGCTTTATGTGACCACAGAGCCTTCCTGAGTGTTCTTTGTGTCATGAGGCTTGCTTTACTGCTTCATCATTCATTTTAAGCCAATTTTAAGAGTCTCATGTGAAAACCAAAGCAATCTAGAACCGGCCGCTGAGTGATTGTGTCTATGTAAAGCCATATCAAAGCAAAGACTCTGTCATAGTCATAGCATAAGCTTGTGTATTCTCAAAGCTACCACTACCTCTGCTCTTCCCCTTTCCCAGAAAATGCCAAACAAAATTAGCCAACATATTAGAAGTGATTGTTACAATCAATGGGTGATTGTTTAGTTACATTAGAAAACACCTTCTAATTCACCACTTTTCAGATTTACTATAGGCTTTCTGACAAACCATTTTTACATTTCAATATTTTATAAATTCCGGCTGATCAAATTCAGAAAGACTACATGGTAAGATATCAGATTTAGAAAACAAGAGTACCATAAAGTGCTGATTCTTTTCTTAATTGTAAATCGCCTCAAGGTGATTACCCAAAGCCATGATAATATATGTCATTACACTGATAATACCCAACTCAGTGCCTGGCTCAATAAATGTTGATTTCCCTGTCTATCCTTCCACTATTATTTTCATTTTTAAAAAATGAGCAGAATTACAATGTGCATGGCTGAAGCAATTTTCTTGAAGACTTTTGCTGCCAAAAAATGTATCTTCATAAATTTACAATCTGACTTCTCTAAAAACTATTTCCCTTATTGCTTTGAGCCATTAAAATATTCCGGTATTATTATGGGAAATATCAGCCATTTATCAAAAATAATCTTGATTTTAAAACTATTTCTATATGTTATTCTTTATAAATGTCTACTTTTTTCTTTGTAACCTTGAACCATTACAGAAAATTACTGTCGTCCAATTCTTCCAGTTCTTCATTCTGTAAATCTTTGGTTATTGTACCTTGTGCTTCCTGTTTCCCATAATATATTTATTTCCTTTCATCTATGGGGAAAATATGGACAGATAAGTCCTTGTCATTGCTCTCAGAGATTATGGATGCTAATTGCTATCACACGACTTCATTTTCACTGCATGCCAAAAACAATGCTTGCCAAACAAAACTTTAGACCTCCCGGTATAAGGTGGTCATTCTATTTCTATTTTGTATCATTGCAAATACTCAGCTCAGTGCCTGGTTCAATAAATGTTTCTTTCCCTTGCCTATCATCAATCTATTTTTATGGGGGGAGGGGGCAGGTATAGTGTGTGGCGGAATTTTCTTGAAGATGTTTTACTGCTAAAGGATCTATAATCAAGAAATTATCTCCATACATTTGGGCCAAAATAGCTTTTTCATATTAGGCCTCATCTCACTATAGACTGAAGGTCAAAACGCCCTTCCTTTACCTGTCCCTGTCCTGTGAGAGGCTGCTAAAATAAGGTGATATGGAACTAGATACAAGGGGAACAAATAAGAAAAATCATTTGAATACTAAGAATAAACAAACTCTCAAAAATGGAATCCCTTTCAACAAGATGACTTGTTAATACCAGCAACATCCTTTCTGACAAAATTCATCATATCAAGTGTAAGTTGAAATCTTTTAAAAGGATCTACATCTAGAAGCCATCTAGTGTTCATGTTTATGTTACAGAATTATGTGTGGGTTGTTTTACAACCTCTTTTCTGCCACCCCTTAATTTTCTAGTGCAGTGTCTAATTATAGAATGAGCAATCCTTTCTCATGTTAAGTATCAAGCTCTCAAACATGGCTTCGGGCAAAGAATCACTGACTCTGCCTTTAACTCTTATTATTCTTATCCCCATTCCCCACCCCCCACCCCCAGTCGTGGGGCTTGAACTCCGGGCCTGGGCAGTGTCCCTCAGCTCTTCAGCTCAAGGCTAGCGCTCTACCATTTGAGCTATAGCACCACTTCCGACTTTTTCTGCTTATGTGGTGCTGAGGAATTGAACTCATGGCCTCATGCATACAAGGCAAGCTCTCTACCACTGAGCCACCTTCCCAGCCCTCATTTGTATTTTTAAGTTACAAAATTAGAAATATATAGAAGGGAAAGGGGAGGTGGGGAAGGACCAAGGGGAAAGGGCAAGGGGAACAACTGAGCCTGCTGCCCCGCACAGGATGGAGGTGTGCACAAGGCCAAGGGGAAAAGGGAAGGGAAGGGAGAGTCTGCAAGGGGAACTAATGACCGAGATGAACTATATAGGAAGAGGGCAGGGAGGAGGTGTGGCCACAGTGATGACCTCAGAACCTGGGGGACCGCCCACTGCCCCCAGGTACGCCATTAACTGAGTTATATGGGTGCTGGGCAGGGATTGCTAGGGAAGAGGACACAGGTGCACGGAGAGCGAACAAGGGAAGGGGTCATTTTTCCTGGGTGGACCTAACACGGGGATGATGAACAAGCACACAAGAAATTAAAAATCCGATCATAAGAAAGGCAAATGAATACATCAGTTCTCAACTCTTTACCCCATTCTAACAAATAAGAAGATCCCAAACTTTCCAGTGTCTTCCTCGGTTATTCGGTACCCTCTTCTTCCCTTTGAACTTTTTCTTTCCCGTTGTGCTTTCCTTTTCTTTAAGATCCCAAAACGCATTTCTTCATTCTGAAATAAGGCTACTGGAGCTAAGTAACAGGCTTTGTCCTCACAGCATCCTGGTGCCTGGCTGGATGATAGGACTTTTCACCCAGCTCCAAAAGCCCACAGGTGAGGGAGACCATTCATTGGAGTGCAGGTGTCAGGGTGTTCAGCTCCAGGAAAGCTGGAGAGAATGGTCACCTCTGACTATTTCCTTAAGTGGCTGATTTGCTAGCCCATGGGTATTTCCCTAAATGGTCTGCTTTGCTTGCCTGAGTATTTCCTTATATGAAAGTTTTTCCAGCCTCTGAGTTTTTCCCTATATGGTCTGCTTTTGTTGGACTTGGGTCTCCACCCCAAATATGTTGGTTTTGTCTTTAAGAGTTACATCCTGGACTGCAAGTCTTTGAAACAGGAGTCCCATATAACAATTTGTGCTATCTATTTTCTTCTGTGGATCTCCCACTGACATACTTCATTTCTCATTTCATTTCTCATCTTCTCATCTCCTTCCAACAAACCCTGAGCTTTCTCTCACACAATATGGCCCTCCTGTAGCAGGAAGCTCACTGGGATGAGATCCAGATGTAATTACAAGACTAACAAAACTATTCTAAGCCCTTTGCTTTGTCTACCTGTCTCACCTTCCTCTCCTCTTTCTTCCTATTCATTCCTCTTTCTCCTTTCTTCCCCTTCTATCTCCTCACTTCTTCTGTCCCTTCCACCTTTCTCTCCCCACTTTAGGGAACTGCTGTAAACAATGACAGGCCACTCTGGGGTTTTCCTGAAAACATTTGCAGCCACCAATCCAGGATTCCTTTTTTAGAACCTCCTCTTCTTCCCAGTCTCAAAGTCCAGTGAGTTAGTGAACAGTTGATGCCCACTGACCTGCCTCCACTGGAATTCTCAGTGCAGTTTGCAGTCCAGGTACTGCCTGAGAAAAATGACTCTAGCCTGGAGATATTTACTGAGGACCTTGAACCTGGAGACCTCCTCTCTTAGGACCCCCAGGACACATTCCTTGCTGAACTGTGAGTGGAAATCAAGGGAACATGGGTCAGCAGAGGGAAAAGTCTAGAGGCTGAGATTTGGGCATGTGGACTTGGCTGGGGTCTTCAAGAACTGCATGTAATTCACCCAGAGCGATTCAATATCCCCCTTTCACAGCCACTATACTCTCATGCTCCTTTTTGTCCCCAAATGAAATTCGTGAGTCTGCTGTAATACAAAAAAGAAGTCAAGGGGAAGCAATGCAAAACAAAGTGTTAAACTCAGTATCTGCATGCCCTGAATCACTTTTCAAAGACATAAAATATGCTCACAAATTTCTACCAGGCCCATGGGAAATAGGATCCTCACACTCCCATTACTTTCACAAACAGACTTAGAGATGTGAAAAGGTTTTCTCCAAGCTAGGCCTAGATCCAGGAACTCCTCCATTGTTCAGACCAGTCCTCCACAGAAGGCACAAGACACAAAAGGAGCAAACAGGCACAAGACCCAAAAGGAGCAAACAGGCCAGGCAGACACTGGTAGCTTCCTAAACTATGTCCTCGGTACAGGACTTTGATCTTGTTTCCCTAAAACCCCACCTCTACCTGATTGATTTCCTTCCTACAAACAGAAGTTTAATCAGCTGTCCATCTGCACATCTGTGGTTCATAGTGGAAGTTTACGCACTGCAGGCTTTACACAAGTGTGGGGGCCGCTTTTCCATTCTCCATCGTGGTCATCTGTCTTCGTATTTGGCTTAACTTTCCTTTTTCTCTCTCCTCCAGTCCTCTCCTATTTACCACTTCCTCCATTCCACTGAATGTTATGAAATTCAATGGATGTTTGATTAAGAGGTAACATGAAAGAAAAATATACATTAGCAATACATGAAAAAGAACAAATCAAAGAAAGCAACAGAAAATAAAATAGATTGTGGTCCAGGAAATGACTTTAAGTGGCGTCACAATCCTTCCTACAGTAATATCTATATCTATATATAATAAAGTATTACTATATATAAACTATTTATCCTAGCCTTTGTTTTGGGGGTAGTAGGGGTTGAACTCAGGGCTTTACCACTGCTAAGCAAGTACTCTACACTGGAGCTATGCCTCCATTTTACATTGGTTACTTCCCAGACAGCGTTTTGCTTTATGCCTGGGCTGGTTTGGGGTGTGGACCTGTTATTTGTGCTTCCTCATGTTGCTGAAGATGATAGGTGCTCACCAATCATTGTGCTTTCTCCATTTCTGGGATAACAGATGCATGCCACAACACAGGGCTGAGATGGAGTATTGGATGCCATTGGTTTTTGCTCAGGCTGGGCCTTGAACTGTAATCCCCCTATCTCCACCTCTCAAGTAGCTAGGATTGCAGGGTTGAGCCACTAGGTCTGGCTCAGCTTTGCCTATCTTGATATGTACAACAACTCTCAACTATAGCTGTAGATGAAATTATAGATGAAATTTGTTTTTAGTATAAAGGGTGGGAACTATTTTAATGATTCCTTCTTTCTTTTTTTAAAATTTATTTATTGTTTTTGTAGATGTGACGTACAGAGGGGTTACAGTTACATAAGTGAGATAAAGAGTACATTTCTTTTTGAACAATGCCACTCCTTCCCTCACTCTCTCCCAGGTTTTCCCTTCCATTCCCATCCAGGAGTTGTATGGTTCATTTTCAACATAGTGTCTAATGAGTACCACTACTGCCTTTGTTCACCCTTTTTCCCACCATTTCTGTGTCTCCCCTTACCTCCTCAAAGACAGATAAATGAACAAACAAGACAAAATGAAATGAAAACAAAAAGAGCAGCAAAGAATTTTTTTAAATCTCTTGTTTCCATTTCCCGGAGTTCATTTTGATACATATTATTTTATATGGTCAGATGCACACAGTGATTGCACCTATGTGATCCTCTCCTGAGAATATCTTCCTTCATCTCACTGTGTAAATGCCTAGAGACCTATAGAGTTTATCATGCTATGTGTGTTATTTTTTCTTTTACCATCCAGTGTGTTTACTTATAGACTTATAGTCACATTCTAGTTACCACAGATGAGTATTTCATAATATATTTTATTTTAAAGGATGAGAAAACTCTTGATAAAAATTCCCTCTCAATTGAAAACTGCTTATAGATGTTAGAAAATCTTTTATCATTATAAAATAATGTCCCTGAGAACTCCCAAAGAGATACAAATATTGGTTTCTTTCACTTAACCTACCAAATAGCTTTTCCCTAGTTAATATTATAATTTGGAGAAAAGAAAACAAAATTTAAGTGATTTCTCTGCTGCAAAACTGAGAATAAGGCAGCTGGGAAATTAAATCCATTTACCGTACTTGACATTTATTATGTGAAGGTGCTGTTCTTCAAATTGAAATTGTTTTAATTTCTTTACTTGTTCATGGGCAATGAAGGAGAAACTGGTGAACTGGATGAAAATCAGTAGGTATCATCTGCATTTAGTCAAACAAGGCGACATCAGATTAGGTACAACAATAAAAAAGAAATACAAAAACACCAACTCAAAAACACTTAAATTCAACACCATTAATTCACAACTAGGCTATCCCTTCTCCTACCCCCACACCCCATACACACACAAGCACATGTTAATGACACAGTTTCCAAGAAGCCAATCAAAGCTCTACTGACCCTCAACTCACAGCATCCTTAACACATAGGCTAGTTAAAATAAAGAATAAATGCAACTATCTATATATACTTTGATTTCAATTTGTTTATGACAAATAAGGAAAACAAAACATTATCATTTATTCTTATCTATCAATTGTCTTTATTATTATGATAATTTTAGGATTTTGTTTATCTAGATAGCTGGTGTAATAAGAAAGAGGTTTTCAGGTATTAAGATATGTGTTTCACTTAGTGATGAAATCTTTCTGTACTACATGTTTGTTTAATATGTGTCTCTATTCTTTCCTCTCTTCTTCCTTTCTTCCATCTTTCTTTTAAGTAGGATTTTATGCTTTTCCGTTTGTTGAATTAATCAATGAATGAATGCCTGGATGAATGAAAGAATTTGCTTCAACTGTTTAAAGTTTAGGCTTTTTATCAAGCTTTCCTGTTGAACTTACTTCCCTCTCTAGCCTACTCTCATAATTCCCAAAGCATTGGAAAAAATAGAGTTTACAGCCTCCCCAATGGGTAATTCAATATTCAGGTCGAAAAATAAGACTGATAGAGTAAATGGATTTTAAATTCTCAGAAATGTTGGGGTTTTTTTCCTAAATCTATCTCAAAAGACTAATGTGGAGGGACCCAGTGAAAAGCTTTAGATAAAGTGGAATTCTCAGAAAACTTAAGCTATCACATTTTTTTGTCATTTCTGTGCATGAAGAGCTCAAAGCTACTTTCTTTTAAAGTAAGAACAAATTAATGACATTAATGATTATTTAGGACAGAAAAGTAAATGGGACCCCTTTGAAAGAAATATATTCAGACCTATTAGTGTCCAGCTTCATTTAGAAACCCAATTGTTCGTTGAGTGTCTCAGGACCATGACTTCATAGCCACACAGAACACCGACATGATCATCCTTGCCTTCATGCTGAATAAGAAGTGACACTTCCTCAGCTCTTTCCACCTGTAAATCATCACAATACTGACTTTAAATCTTTCAAAGCAGAGAGCATTTTTTTCCAGATATTCCCTCATTCCATGTTTCCATGTCCCAGACGGGTAAAAGTCTGTGCTGGCAGGGTGATGGTGGTAATGAATGACAGAAAAGAATGTTGGGCTCATTCTTGTTCTTCAGATACTTAACTTGATGAGCTTAAATAATTAATTTACCACTCTAGGCATATCTATCAAATGACTGTTTTGACATCCCTCCCCAAAGTTTAAAATCTTTCTTAGGTTGAAATATTTAATGATTTTTTTTCTGACTTAGCTTTCTCCTTTCCCAATGGTCTTATGGATGACAGCCCATTGGGGCTGGGAAAGATCACTTCCAAATCTGTTTGCAGGTATTAATTCAGTATGCTGCCTGACATTTATCTAATGACATTAGCGAATGAATAGTCATCACTGAAAGAATTGCCAACAGCCATCAGTTGCACATCTGTTAAGACGCAGTGGCATCAGCTTGGGACATACACTATGATTCAGGCACTCAGCAGCTCAGAGCCTCGAAGGCACCCTGATGACAAATTGGAAGAACTCCTGTCACATATTGGGCTGGAAAAAGTTGTGCTTCATTCAGAGGATCACAGTCCATGTGGGTTCGATCAAAAGGCAGTAGAGAGGGTTGTAGTAGGAAAAGCCCTAACTTCCCCCAGCATCCTCCATGCTTCTATGAACTATTTCAGGGAAAACTATCTTTGTTTTCTTTCATGTAAAAAAAAAAAACTTCATGATTAAGAAACCTATTTTCAAATTCAAATAAAAAAAATTAAGTTGTGATCTAAGGATCATAATTTAAATCCAGCCTAGGCATATATATACTAGAGACATATCTCTAATTTACCAGGAAAAAAAAAACTGGAAGTGGAAGTGTAGCTCAAATGGTAGAAATCCAGCCTTGAGTACAAAAAGCCAAGGAAGAACTCAAGCCCCAGAGTTCAAGCCCTAGTCCTGTTACAGGAGGAAGGAAGGATGGAAGGAAGGATGGAAGGAAGGATGGAGGGAGGGAGGAAGGAAGGAAGGAAGGAAGGAAGGAAGGAAGGAAGGAGGAAGGAAGGAAGGAAGGAAGGAAAGAAGGAACAGAGGGAGGAAAGGAAGGAGGGAGGAAAGGGGGAAGGGGAGGAGGGGGAAGGAGGAAAGGAGAAGGGGAAAAGGGGAAAGAGGAAAGGGGAAAGAAAAGGGAAAAGAGAAAGGAAAAGAAGAGAAGAAAAGAAAAGAAACTAAGAAACAAAATTGCCTAAGGGCCTTGGTTCAGGTAACTACAGGCGATTGTCACTCGTGTCACGCTTCACTTTGGCAGGTGCCTCCTGGACTCCCACATTTAAATGCAGTTTTCATACAAAACCTAACATGCCACCATGTGACTTCTCACCCGAAAAATACCAGGTAGGACTCCAGGCTTCAGGGAAACCCCAAAAGTTGGTTCCCCTGAGGCAATCACAATTAGTTGTTTTCTCAAGAAGGACCCACAAAAGGTCTTACTAGACGTGAAGCTGTCCCACCCCAGATAATCTGTCCTTTAAGTCATTGGGAACATCTGAAACCTTCCTACACCATTTACTACCTGAGTAGGAATGGTGAGCATGCATGACAGAGACTGGGCGCATAAGATGTACACACGCGCTGTATGCATTGCAGGAATTTCACACCTGTGATGACACACATTTACATTTCTATGTACTTACAAAATGTATACTCTGATTATCCCGAGTCTTCTACCAAAAGTCATAAAATTAGCTTTGTGCTGTCAGAATAAAATGATTAAATTCACTCTTTTTCTCTCAGACACGGGGGGGAGGGTGGAGAGAAAAGAAGAGAAACATGAGAGAAAAGTTTTATGACTGAGACCAGGTGGCTCATGAGAGAGCTCTTTCCCAGAATGCCTAAGGTTCTGGATTCAAATTCCAGCAATATTTTAAAAAATGAGCAGCACCAATTAGTTTATTTTTATTTAAAAAAAAAAGAAACTAGGAAGTAACACTGGTGGCTCAAAGTGGTAGAGTACTAACCTTGAGTGCAAAAGTTCAGGCACAATGCTCTGGCCCTGAGTTCAAACCCCCCAACTGACAAATAAATGAATAAATAAAACTAAAGCAACAAGAATGGCATTCATTTAGACATTTACTTCCAAAGGTTAGTTTTCATTGCTAAGATAAATTAATTCAAACCCCAAATTTTAAGCCTCCTTCCTATCTTCTCTAAAGAGGAGAAGACAAAGGATCACAAATAATGATTTTATTGAAGAGGAAGGTCTAAGCCAGCTATAATGGTTCACACTTAGAATACAGGCTTCTTGGGAGGTGAAAAGCAGGAGGATCAGGAGTTGAAGTCACAATTTATGCTACTTCAACTCAGAAACAAAACACAAAGTTAATTAGTTAACTTTAAAAATGTAAAAGAAGACTTCAGTTTCTTCCAGCAAAGATATTTGGTAAATAATTCCACCTGTGAGCCCCCACAGGGAACAGGCCTGTGTACAGATCACTAGAGAGACTAGGCACTCATATAGCAACCTGTGATTGAGCTTGTAGGGATCATGGAGCTAGGGAAAAGAGATTTTTAATCCTGTCTCTCTGTAGTCCCTGGCCTACAACCATGTCCTGGAGATCAAAAAGCAGCATCTTTCTCCTGTGGCAACGGCATATTTCCAGAAGCCCTTGCTGCTTCATCAAGGCCACATGGAGTGGCTCTTTGACTCAGAGGGAAACAGATACCTGGATTTCTTCTCTGGGATTGTCACTATCAGTGTTGGTCACTGTCACCCGTGAGTATCCTTAAGATTCGAGGGATGGGGAAGGGGTGTTCACTTCACAAGAATATGTGGAAAATAATCACCTTGGTGACGCAGAACCGTGTTTGGGCTCAGTGCCTAGTATGTGTGCAGAGGGACAGGCTGCTGGCAGTGGGTAACTCTGATCTTCTGTTTATCCAGAACAGTAAATGCAGCGGCCCAAAAGCAGCTTGGCCGCCTGTGGCACACCAGTTCTGTCTTTCTCCACCCTCCAATGTGTGAATATGCAGAAAAACTCGCAGCACTTCTTCCCGAGCCTCTTAAGGTATAATGCTCCCAGCCAAAGTGATAGGAGTCTCATGATCCCAAGTGTTCTGCCCAAGGAAGCAGTGAAGAGAGCAGGGAATTTAGTCTATCCTGAGCTATCTGCTAATAAATAGAGTAAATAGACTCAAGCAGGGGGAAGAAATTCATGAAATGCTAGTGAAAGAAATTAATGTTCACTTTTGTCCATTCTGTGTCTCTGTCTCTCCCTGGTTGCTCTTCTTACCCCATCTTTGCAGAAATTACTTCCTAGGAGCCCCAGAATGCCCAACATGGTCATTTATAACCTAAAAAGATTTTCTTCTCTTTGTTCTTATAGCTCTTCAAAAGTATTTATATATCTTCTACAAAAGTATTTATATATCTTCTCTTGCAAAGAATGGAGTCATTCTTTATCAGTTGATATATAATGCATTTAGATAATAGTGCATCTGAAATGAAGGAATTTTTAAACTGAATTGAGATGTAAAGATATTGGCCAAGGTTTGCATGTAGGTATTAAATGAGTTAATACGTAGGGAAGATCTAGAATAGAACCCTGTACCTGGTTTTAGTTATTTTTAATTAAATTATCTAGAAACACCATTTCCTCTTTTATCTACAAAGGACAAAACAACTTGGAATCACTATAACTTGCAATCATATTCAGATGATCAGAGAAGAGTAAACGCATAGCAGTTTATCCAAGTCACCAGTGGATACTTACTAGTCTCTGACTCTGGACAATGCAGTTCCCTTGGTCCTTCCCATTCATTTATCTGGGCTGTGCTGAAATTTTGTTTATTTGTTCATTTGATTTTTTAGCATTCATACTACACAGCAGTCAGGCAGTGACAACCCCTGGGATTGTAGCCCCAGGAGTCCTGCCTGATTCCAAGCCTTCAGAATCAGGTAGAACTGGATAGGTTCAGAAGCCAAGAAACCTTATACTCAGACACCCTCAATCAGCCAATCTCCCCATCTTAGCACCTGACAGATCAATAAATACAGCCAATAAAAGTCCAGAACCTTGCACAGCTGTAACAACATCTAAACCACTCATAATTATATTAGAATATATTAATTGAACAAAAGAATAGGTTTTGCTGTGATTTTGTCATAGTTGTATAATGTACTTCTGTTTCATTCAAGTTACATTGTTCTTTTTGGCTCTCTCCTATTTCCTGCTGGTCCCTTCCTCTTCCCGACTAGTCATCCTTCTATATTCATGATGCTGTTTTTGTGTGTTAAATCTAGATTCTACATGTGAGAGAAAGCATATTTGTTTTTTTGAGTCCGGTTTATTTTTCTCACCCTGATGAAACCCATTTCTATTCATTTTCCTGAAAATTATTATTTCATTCTTCTTTCAATCTGGACTTTACTATCCTTGTTTTTCTCTCACTTAGTAGCTGTTCAATAAAGGCTGTAGAATTAATATAGTGGCTAGATTAGGCCACCCAGACTGATTTGACAGAGGCTGAGATGCTGTCTTTAGCATTTCTAATAGGGGACTATTAAAGTATGAAGTCACGTATCTATTTTCTCCTTAGGTCATTTTTTTGGTGAACAGTGGCTCAGAAGCCAATGATTTGGCCATGATGATGGCCAGAGCACACACAAATAATTCAGACATCATTTCTTTCAGGTAACTATATCTTCTCAAATATTCAATTCTTCATAACATTGATTTGCCCTAATAATAAATGCTGACATCCCAATATTAAATGTACACCTTTAGATTGTAGCATGACCAAGGAGAGGTGTTTGCTCAGGGACATTTTTCCCATTTTAGATTTTAGAGTATATTTAATCAAGTGAATATGATAGATCAGGTATCCTTAGCCAAATTGGTCTTATAAACCCTAGATGGCTATATGAGCATTAAAACTAAAACTAAGAATTTTGTTCACAGCTTTTCACCTTAGTACATTTAAACAGACTCTTAGAAGATTCACCAAAAAGGCAGAAATAGTGATAGTGAAAGTCAATAGTCCCCTTTCAAGCTGTCTTGGCATAATTTCTGTCGAGATTCCAAAATTCGATATGGTCTTTACTTCCTCATATGCAATACTATGCATTTCATATAAGATGCATATGTAGTGATCACAAGCCAGTGGTAACACTTGCTACCAAAATATAGCAATTAAGCTTTGTGATTGTTAGTGAAATAAAAAAAACCGGTATATGCATATCTAGGTAAGTTTGGTCTATATTGAGCAGTCCTGGTACTATCCTCTTGGATAGTGTTAAATCCTCATTCAAGGGTGATTGGGGGGGATGTTGAAATTTAATAGGATGATTTATATTAAATATGAATGCTTAAATATAACATTAAATATGAGTGCTTTAGATATGCCAAGTAAGGTAGTTTATGAAGGCTCATAAAGATATTTCCCTAAAAATATTGAATAAATGGCTTCATCACAGGAACAAATATTTCTCACTCGCTGACTACTTTGACAACTAGCATGCATTGGCAATGCAATTCTGATGTGATGCTAAAAGGTGAGTCTAATTATTTTAGCATGATGGAATATGGAAAATCCTAAAGTCAGAATCCTTGGTCAAAAGATATCCAAAAAGATTCTTTTTTTAATCCTTGGAAATGGTGCTGTAGATCAAGTGGTAGAGTGCTAGCCTTGAGCAAAAGAGCTCAGGGACAGTGCGCAGACCCTGAATTCAAGCCCCATGACCAATCAAGAAAACACAAAAAGAAAATCCTTTTACGTTGGGCGCTGGTGGCTCACAACTGTAATCATAGCTACTCCGGAGACAGATCTGAGAATCATGGTCCCAAGTCAGCCCAGGCAGAAAAGCCCATGAGATTCTTATCTCCAATTAATCACAGAAACAGCCAGAAGAAGTGTGGCTCAAGTTAGCAGAATGCTAGCCTGGAGCAAAAGAAGCTTAGAGGACAGCTCCCAGGTTTAGATTTCAAGCCCTAGGATCAGCCTCTCTCCCCCACCCCAGCTAAAAAAAATCCTTTCACAATTTCAAATCTATGATATCAGTTAAGTATATTCATATGGCATAGGTTTGAAGAGTTCTACCAAGTCTTCAGAATTGAATATTCATGTGGTTCTATTTCATCTTCAGAGCCTTCATAGACTTGTGTTCTATTCAAGCCAGTTGTCAAAGGGAAATGAACTTGATCCTAACCTCCCACTGTCTTCTCTCTGCAGAGGAGCCTACCATGGCTGTAGTCCTTACACACTGGGCTTGACAAACGTAGGACTCTACAAGACGGCCCTCCCCAGTGGCATGAGTTGCCAGTCCGTGAGTTCTATAGTTATTCTCTTGTTTCTCTAAGGATTTCTGAGTATGTGGGATAATTGTTCATATTTCCCTATATTAGAATTAGAAGCTTGTCACACTTAGAATTAGAAGCTTGTCAGAAACCACAAATCAAGTTGACTAACTTAAACTGATGCCCTTTGGGAACAAATATTTCTTAGAAAGGCCTTTTGAGTCTGAGCAATAGTTAATGATAGAGTTTCACATTTTATTTTGCTTGTAAGTCCAGTCAAGTACACTAGCGGCTCTAAGAACACTGAGTACACAGAATTTCCCTAGACTCATCCCTGCCTTCACCTCCACTCTCACATGCTGGACCTCTCTTTTGTTCAGCATCAAAATCAGATAGTCAGTTATCCTTATTCTTTCAGATGCCCTTGTCCACCAAACCCTTGGGAAAGTTGCTTTGAGGCAAAAATTGAAATCATTTTTCTTTGTAGAGTGCCCATACAAGTTTTGATTTCTAAGAAGAAATAGCTCCTTGAAGCAGATTAGGTTTTTCATCCTTAGTGAGGGAGGAGTGAAGAGGGAATCTCAATATCAAATTAAGAAGCCCTCTTGCCTTGATTGCCACCATATGCTCCCCCAAATTGACTATCTGGTGCTCATGTGTTGCCCAATTCTTCTTTCGTCATTTGCAGACAATGTGCCCAGATGTTTTCCGTGGCCCCTGGGGCGGAAGTCACTGTCGAGATTCTCCTGTGCAAACAATTAGGAAATGCAGCTGTGCACCAGGTCCAACTGGGTGGGGGGAAGGGAGGGAGTGGAAGGTCAGGAGGGGTAAGGCATTTTGAGAAGGGTTACATTTAGAAAAATGGAGGAAGCAAATGCCAACAGGGAAACAAAAAGATCAGGTGACCCCTTGTTGAATCCTACCTGTGCCTACCCTTCCTTTACCATCAGCACGCCCATCTGGGTATGGAGGGAGGGTTTCATAGACACATGCTATCAGATATTAGCCTTCAACCTAGCTATCATGTAGCTAGGTTCTTAAGTAAAGGTGGTCTATTAGTTCTCTTAACAGTAGGTCTGCTACCAATACTCCTTCAACTCTTCAATGAAATTGAAAGAGAAAGTTCACTACTGAACTCATTCTATGAAGCCATAATAACCCTCATCCCAAAACCAGGCAGGGACTCATCAAAGAAAGAGAACTGTAGACCCATTTCTTTGATGAACATTGATGGAAAACTTCTCAACAAAATTTTGGCCAATCGACTTCAACAATTCATCCTGCTAGAAACTTTAAAAGAAAACAACGTGATAAGATTATTTACCAGCTCCCAATGGGAGAAAGGAGGAAGGGAAAGGAGCTTGAAGGGTGTCTGTTCAAGGTTTTGGTAGTATTTTACATCCCTGTCTGTTTTTGTTGTGTGTGCTTTGCTTGAATTGCTATTGAACCAAGGCCTGTGCTCTTACTTGGCATTTTCATTCAAGGCTGACACTCTACCACTTGAACCACACTTCCATGCCCTGTTCAAGGTCTTGGTCCAGGTGTAAGGGCACTTCTGGACCCCACTAAGTCCATCAATGGGGTATCAGAGTCCCTGTCTTAATGTTCCCATCAAAATAGGAAAGGGTTGTCTTATACCACCCCATATCTTGAGTTGTAAGAAAGAAAATGCACGAAAGAGATTTTACTCTAAGTCTTTAGACAAGCATTAAAATGGCCCAGTGTTCATTTCTGCTTAAAGAAATATTATTTGCTCTTCTGGACAACAGAGTAAGAATCCACAGAAGCACCAATCCCTTGGAAGTTGAGTGTCATAAATTCTCTACCCTATCACTGAGAACAAGTATGTCTGCTGGGTACACAATGCTCAGGTCAAGATAGTAAAAGTAGAACACAGCATATTTTCTTCTGTAGTCAGACAAGCTAATATCTTTAAATTGACCATCTGGCCTAATGGCTGTGGCTTTGAAATTTGGGGCAGGGTGCCCAATTTTGGCATTTCCTGAAAACATCTTGTGAGCAGCAATGCCAACCTAGAAATCTTCAAAGAAAACATATCAGCCAGGCAGCAAGAAGAAGCCAATGGAATACTTTTTCCAGTCTCCAAGCTCAAGTCATGAAGTTCTCTAGACTGCTGACATGTCCTGAAAAACTTTTAAAGGCAATCTTAAAAGAAAAACGTCTATTGAAAATCACATTTTATTTATATTCTCCATTCTTCCTCCCATGAAGGATAAGAGGCATAGAAACTTCATCATCTGCTGCTTATTTTGTCCTCAAAGTCTGCCCTAGATTTGTCATTGCAGTACAGGGCCTTCTGAATAACTGAGCCTAAGTAATTCTTGTGGAAAGGACTGACTGACCCACTGAAAGGTCTTTAATGGAACAAGATGAGTCACCAGATTCTGAGCAAGAACACAAGATGGAAGTAAGAAAAAAAAAATCAGCCTTAAAAGGAAGAAGAATCATAGATACGTACAAAGTCCTTAGGGATAATTGCGAAATGGAAGTAGGAGAATAAAAGAAAGAGCACTAAAGACAAGATGGCCTGGTAACTACTTGAGGAAGTTTAAAGCTATCATTCAAAGTTTCCACTTTAAAGATGAGGTAACCAGAGTTCATATGTAGGCAGCAAGAGTGCTACGAATTGATCCCAGGTCTTCCAACCAAAAAGCCGGTGCCATCCTCATTCACACTGATGTACCAGCGAGATGAATCCAAGCTGCAAGTCATCCCTGCTCTGCCAGCCATGAATAAGGAGATACCTAACATCATGGTATCTAGATGAAACTCCCAGCACTGCCATAGCTCACGCAGCGGCAAAAGCTCCAACTGTTGCTTCCTTTTTCTCCTTTGTGAAAGAGAGATAGTAATCTCTATGCCTCTTCCTTATCACAGCACTTATGACAGGAGGGAGCTGAAATTTAACTTTGCATTTGACTTGGCTAGGTATATATATTGTGTGTGGGGGGGGGAGTAATCAAGAACTACATCTGTTTGATGCCCCTCATATTCCTTAGTCTATCTGCACAGCCACAGGCACATTTTAATAGACTGAAGCACTCAGAGATGGTTAACTCTTGAATAGACAGTCATAGAAAACACCTTCTTGAATAGGAATCCAATTGCTCAGGAAATAAGAGCAAGAATTCCATGACTACTCTATGTCCCCATCTCTCTGCATCTTCTCTGCCTCTTCCTTCTTTGAAATCTTCTCTTCTTTAGTCCATCTTGAAAATAACCAGAAACTTGCTAAACATACCCTAATCAGTGGTCTTTGTTTTAGCTGAAGTCAAATGTTTCCTTAACTCTTATTACCATCAAGCAATAAGATGGCTATCATACATTTGAACAATACTAGAACACAAAAATGCATCCCAGCCTCCTCCACTGCTTTTAGGATGATGTAAGTGTTGGTTCTTTGTTACTGTTGAATTGCTGTATTTCCAGATGTATCCCAATATGTCAAGTACTTTCAGTACAGAGAGTTCCAGTTCTCAATTCCTCTGTGAGTCCACAGTATGCACATAGGTATGAACCATGATACAGATCTTTTCATTTCAGAATGATGTCACCAAATTTCATCTTAGTAGGAGACAATTCTTAGCCTAATATTGACATTTTATGCATTACCTTACGCTATCTGCCATCCCCAGAATTCTCCTCCCTGCAGAGTTTCATTCCAAGTTGTCACTTGCTGATTTCAGGATGAAATTAACCTCTCGTCACCCACTACCCACTCAAGGTTCCAAATGACAATTGGTGTCGTTTTTCTCTATTTGAATGAAAAGTTTTCTTCTGCTTAAAAATTGTTGGTTTCATCTTCATTTTTCACTCTGGCTTAACTCTTTCTGTACCACTGAAGTAAAACAGCCTCTTAGAGTCACCCTGTTGTATCATCCAATAGAGCACCTGCATCCTTTGGTCGTTGTCATGGAGATACTAGATGCAGAGGCAGCCTGACCTGGAGTTTCAGCAATGAGCCCATAAAGTGTGAAATAGAAACAAAAATAGATGATCCTCTCATCACTAAACATGTCAGGAGATGTGAGGTACAAATCTTTAAAATCAAGAAAAGGTTCAAATAAAACTTCTCTTTGCTATGGTTTCTCAAGTTTAAGCCTTTGATATTGATTTTTGCTCTATTCTTTTATTTAACTAGTCACAAAGGGCTCATTGAGTCTCAAAAGTACAGTTTTTCTATACATATGTTTGGCCACTTCTTTTTTTGTCATCCAATGCTGTTTTCTCTTCTTTTCCTTACAGACATAGGAAATTTCACTCTCTAAAATAAAATATGTATGTCTTCTTTCCATCAAAATGCCATCCAAAGCATGTCATCCAGAGCACATACTGTCCTCATTTTGTCTCCTTTCCATTGTTTCCTTCCTTGTGTCCCCACCTCTAACTTCCAACTACCTAGATAGGTACCAGGAGGTTCTGTCAATTGAGCTTTCTCTAATATCACACGTATTTGGAATCAAGTAGTATTGTTTCCACTCTTTAAAGCAGAGGTAGAATACAAGATGTATCTGTGCTTCATTTTTTTGGGGGGGGGATCCGGTCGTGGGGCCTGAACTCTGGGCCTGGGCGCTGTCCCTCAGCTCTTCAGCTCAAGGCTAGCGCTCTACCACTTGAGCCACAGTGCCACTTCCGGCTTTTTTTCTTTTTTGCTCATGTGGGGCTGAGGAATCGAACCCAGGGCCTCAGGCATGCAAGGCAAGCGCTCTACCACTGAGCCACCTTCCCAGCCGCCTGTGCTTCATTTTTGATGGTGGTTGCTGATGGTTTCTCTTCTGCATCTCTGCTCTCATCCACAGCAGACTGCATCCATGCCTCTCAGCAAGCAATGGCATGTGTGACTCCTTCTCACACCCAAACTGCTTGCATGTCACAGGAGCTAGGGCCTCGCATCCCATCCACATCTCCCCTTGCATTCCTTCTGCTGGTCAAGGATGTGGGCTTATGTCCAGAGATGTTGTGATGCTGTTAAGAACCAAATGACAAGTGTGGATACGATTGCTGAAGGCTTAGTCATGGCACATGTAATTGAACTGGTCAGTCCTTAGGTATTCCAGACAAAAAGGTTTCCTCTCTTTTTTCTTTCCTGTTTCCTTGTTGTTTCTCAACTTCTGGGGTGACACAGAGATGGAAGTTTCTGTAGCCTGGGCAATCTTTCCTCTCCATGCCTGTCCCCCTTCCCACCCACAGAACTGTACACTAGTCCCCTGTGTGCTAATGGTATAGCTGAAGATACATCACCATTGGCAGAGGTGTGGGTAAAAGAAGAACCATAAATACATTAAATGATTCATGTAGGAAAGTAAGAATTCTCAGAAACCCATGCAAATAATAATACATTTATTATTATATAATAAATGAATAATAATTAATTGTTAAAAGTGTGACATTTTAAAGGCTGTATGACATTTAAACTTTATCCAACTAAGCTGAAGCTCATTTTAAACCTTTTTATATAGCCCATTTTTCTCTCATGCTATGCAGAGCATAGGAAAGACTCTTGAATACGTAGGCATAGGAAGCATCTTCCTGAATAGGAATCCATTTGCTCAGGAAATAAGAGCAAGAACTGAAAAATTGAATTGCATGCCAAAGGAAACAATTGCCACAATGAAGTGACAGCCCACAGAATGGTAGAAAAATCTTTGCAAGCTATTCATTGGATAAAGAACTGTTAACCAGAATATAAAAAGAGCTGAAAAAAATTAAACACCAAAAGAGAAATAACTCAATTACTAAGTGACCAAATGAACAGTTTGGACAGTTTTTTTAAAGTACATATGACCAAAAAAGTCCATGAAGAAATGTTCGATATCCTTAGCAACACTATTCACAATAGACACCAACTATGAAGTCAGCCTTACATGCCTATCAACCAATGAATAGAAAACATGACATATATGTGCTGGAGTACACTACTTACAAATGTTATAAATCTGGAAGGGAGATGGTGTATCATTCAGTTATATAAAACAATGAAATTTTGTTTGTAGGAAATATCGAAACTGTAGAGCATCATATTCAGCTAAATGAGCCAAATTCACAAAGACAAATATTGCGTGTTTTTCTCTTGTGGAATCTAGACCAAAGAAATAGTTTTTAAAGAGTAGCCAGCAGAAAGAAAAAATGTGAAGAAAATAGGATAATAAAACATTAAGTATGAGAGAGATAAATGATATGCATACATGGAAATGCAACAAATGAAAAACTCCTTTGTAAAAAGTAAATTGAATTCAACAACAAAGAATGGGTAAAGCATAAACTACCTGTGTTTATACATAAACTAAGCAACAAAACATTAATGGTTGCCATCTGCTTTACCTTCTTAAAGTTTATATCAAGCTTCGAATCTAAAAATCTGGCTGAGAAAGCTTCCCATCACTATAATTGATCAAACCAACTTCTTTTAAAAATGAAAATTAACAGAGAATCTCATATTGTGGTTATAGACAGTACCAAGTAGAATGCAAGAGATGGACTAACAACTACTCATAAATCTAGATGCTGGGTAAATAAAAGATAGATTGGTAGACACCAGGAATATTCTATTTGACCAAGTATACTTGTAATTAAACTGAAACTAATAAGACTTTAGACGGTCAGATATTTTTTGATTAAGTTTTGGGGGGAAAATGGCAAAGTTATTGAAGAAAGAAAGATTTCTTTTAATTCAGAAAAACTTATAAGATAAAAGATAAAATGAGTCCTTTGTAAGGATATTTATTAGCAGTTGTGAGTTGTGCAAGGACTGTTTCAATATACCATTTCCACATGAATATATGATATTCCTCCACCAAACTCACCCTCTCCATCTCTTTTCCTCATTCCTCCTCCTGTGCTCTTAAAACAATTTCAACAGGTTTCATTGTTCTATTTGCGTATGGTACTTCAACCATATTCATCTTCATTTACCCTCTACATTGACACTGCCTCCTCTCCTTGACTCTCATCTACCCAGAGAGCCTGTTTTACTTTCCTGTGATTCATCTTTTCAGTGTACATTAACTGTACAAAGGGGCTTCCCCATAGGAATTCACATACACATATATTATAAATTAATTAACTTTATGTAGTACTCTTTTTCCCGGTGCCCTTACATTATTGTTCAGTAGCTTTCAGTGAGTTTCCTTATATATCCAGTCATAGATACTATGCAAATTGGTCCTCTTAAAAAATGAAGCCAATGTTCTCTCCCACTTACGTGAACAATACACTCCAGGAGATATTTTTAAGCTAACATATTCCTACCATTCATAACTTGCTCTAACATGCCAGTCTAAACAATCTAAACAGAGGGAAAAAAGTCCAAAGATTATTTTCTACATCCTAAACTCCTCTAGCAATGTATTGAACCAGTAACTTGCAATCGTTCAGACTGGTTTTACCTACACCACATTCCTAACTTTAAATTTTTATGGATATTTTAAATAAAGTGTAAACAAATTCCTTTTAAGTTTATTATAAAGATGCTGAACAGAGGGGTTACAGTTATAATAGTAAGGTAATGAGTACATTTCTTGTCGAGCATTGTCACCCCTCCTTTGTTTTTCTCCAACTATCCCTTCCCTCCCCACCTCCCCCACTCCCCACCCTTCCACCCCCAGAAGTTAAAGTTCATTTCCAACATAGTGTCTTTGAGTCTCATTGTTACAATGAGCCATCCTGTGTCCTTATTTCAGCATTTTGTTATTTCCCTTCCCCTCAAATTCCTTTTTTAAAAATGACCTCTCGCAAAAGGAAAGTTGGACGGCTACAGCCAGCTTTTGCCCTGAAGGTACATGTCAGTGCATCTGTTTTTATGGCTCTGTGAGTGCAGGAAAGAGAGGCCTCGGTGCACAGCCCTGGTCTATGGATTGGCTGGAAATAACAACTTGCCATACACAGGAAGTCTGCAAGGGACTTCTGCTGGGTGGGAGTGGAGGGACCTAGGAAGGCTCCACTGAAACACAGCCTGCACACTGACCATTTTGAGGCCCTGAAGTTTGCACTTTCACTATCTCAAGGTGAGAATTGGAGGAATCTTAAGCTAAAATCGCCTTATATGCCTGGAAGCTGCCCTTGCAAGTACCGCTCTGGAGAAATCTACCATGATTCAAGCCTTAAGGAATTCTCACAAGGAAATTTCCCAAGGAAAATAAACAATCTATAATCAAAAAATGGCACACAAGGAAATAAAAACTCCACAATCAGAAAAGGACCCACAAAGGCCAGGCATGGTAGTATATTCCTGTAATCCCAGGTACTTGGGAGGCACAAATTGGGAAGATTGTGGTGTAAGGCCAGCTGGGGCAAAAAGTTAGTAGGAACCCCATCTCCAAGAGAAAGAAGATAGAAAGGAAGGAAGGAAGGAAGGAGAGAGAGGAAAGAAAGAAAGAAAGAAAGAAAGAAAGAAAGAAAGAAAGAAAGAAAGAAAGAAAGAAAGAAAGAAAGAAAGAAAGAGAAAGGAAGGAAGGAAGAAGGAAAGGAAGAAAGACAGGAAAGAAGGAAGGAAGGAAGGAAGGAAGGAAGAAAGAAAGGAAGGAAGGAAGGAGATAGTAATTCACAACAGTAATTCTAGAGAGATGGTAGGATCAGAGCCATCCCTGGCCAAAAAATAAAAAAATGAGACCCCCATCTGTTAAATAACTAGTGATACTGGATGAAGAGACAGATTGCCTACTTAGCAAGCACAAGCACCTGAATTCAAACTTCAGTATGGCCAAAGAAAAATGAAAATGAAAAAGATATAAAGGAAAAAGATCAATGAGAATTTAAAATAATAGAAGTACCAAACAGACTACCAAATAGATATAGTGAATATATTTAAAGAAAATTAAATAAGCATTTGAAAACAAGAATATCTTCAATGGGTAGCTCTATCAGCAGTTGATCCCATGAAGAGAGAGTTAATGAGTTAAATAAGACAGCATCTGAATAAGAACATTTTAAGCAGTACCCAGGGAAGAAAGGCTTTCAAGTGAACCTGTTCTATGTATCAAATCAGTCACGATTTCTACCACTCATTTCTCTCTGGATTCCTTAAACATTTGCTAAATGGGCTACCACATGTCACTTCGCCTGGCCACACACTGGAGAAATGAACAAGGGACAGAAAAAGCCTGCCTTCAGCTAAGGGCAGAAGGACCTGTAGCAACTCAGGACCAAGCACCAAGAGCTACAGTGGATACACACTGTCCGGATCTAAGATGTTCCTCTTTAGACTTGAAACTGACCATAATTGTTCCATGAGCATATTTACATAAAGACAGAAATGATGTATTCTTTAAAATTGTGCATCAGCCAGGTAGCAATAAAAAAGCAAATGCAATTATTTTCAAATAGACTAAATCATTCCAACTACATTTGCATTAGCTCTACCCATTTGAGAGGATGTGTATATTTAGATGGAATTACTAACTATATGAGATTTAATGACCCTTTGGGGCATTTCTTCCCCAAATGGAAATTACTGAGGTGGTTTCTTTATGTATTTATGGCTGTCCCAACGATCCTGTAGAACATTCCCTCCTTCTAAAACAAATCAAAATGTACCATATTCTGAGGATCTCTCATTCGTCTGAATGCCATTACACATCTTCAAATGCCATGGTCTGTGTACTGTTTCCTTACGTTTGTGCATTTGTCTCTGTTATTTTTTTTGCAGACTTCTGCCAAGCTAAAGAACTGTATATTGATCAGTTCAGAGACACTTTGAACACTTCTGTAGCCAAGTCAATTGCTGGATTTTTTGCAGAGCCAATTCAAGTGGGTATATGAGTCTTAAACAGCTCTAATGTCTCTGTACAGAGGGGTTACAATTACATGAGCAAGATATGTGTACATTTCTTATCAAGCATTGTAGCCTCCTCCTTTATTTACCCTTCCCATCCCTTCCCAGCCTCCGCTGGCCCCCCACCCAATCCTCCCCCCTCCCCACCAAAGTTGTAAAGTTCGTTTTCGACATGACAACTAGTACTTCTCATTGTTGCAACAGATCCACCTGTATCCCTATTTAAACGACTTGTTTTTCCCCTTCCCCTCCACAAATTATACCAACATCAAATACAGTGAAAGCAGGGGTTATACTGTGGGGGAGGGACATACAAAGCAACAAAGAAATAATATTATAA